AAAAGTCTCTTTTATAGTTTGCCACTAGCCACCTGGGAGACACACCAAACATGTGGAAGAAGGTGCTCTGGTCAGATTAAACCAAAATCGAACTTTTTGGCCACAATGCAAAACGATATGTTTAGCGTAAAAGCAACACAGCTCATCACCCTGAACACACCATCCCCACTGTCAAACATGGTGGTGGCAGCATCATGGTTTGGGCCTGCTTTTCTTCAGCAGGGACAGTGAAGATGGCTAACATTGATGGGAAGATGGATGGATACAAATACAGGACCATTCTGGAAGAAAACCTGTTGGAGTCTGCAAAAGACCTGAGACTGGGACGGAGATTTATCTTCCAACAGGACAATGATCCAAAACATAAAGCCAAATCTACAATGGAATGGTTCACAAATAGACGTATCCAGGTGTTAGAATGGCCAAGTCAAAGTCCAGACCTGAATCCAATCAAGAATCTGTGGAAAGAGCTGAAGAGCTGTTCACAAACGCTCTCCATCCAACCTCACTGAGCTCGAGCTGTTTTGCAAGGAAGAATGGGAAAGAATTCCAGTCTCTCGATGTGCAAAACTGATAGAGACATACCCCAAGCGACTTGCAGCTGTAATTGCAGCAAAAAGTATTAGCGCAAGGGGGCCGAATAATATTGCACGCCCCACTTTTCAGTTTTTTATTTGTTAAAAAAGTTTAAATTATCCAATAAATGTCGTTCCACTTCACGATTGTTGTTAATATATACAGTCTATAGTATGGACGAGCTCCTAAAAAGGTAGTGACTAATGTACTAATGTGTTTGAATGTCAGTGCTATAATATATTGTGTATGCCAATAATTAAAAAAATAAAAATAAAGTATGTATTAAATTAAATTAAAGTATTAAATGTTTAGCTTTAGCATTATAAAGAAATGTCTTTGTGTCTGCGTAGGTTTCCTCCTGGTGGTCCAGTTTTTCTAAAAACTTGTACAATAGGTATGAATGTATTGAGTGCGTGAATGGATGGTGTTGGTCAGAGGCTTTGATGCACCAGTTTGTTTGCCGTCTTTGGTTCCGTCATCATCGTGTGTGGAGAGAGTGTAAATACAGATTTCATTAGCAGCATGAGGGTAAGAGACAAAGTAAAGTGACAGTGGACACGAGTGACCTGTCTGCGGCGTATCCAAAGACAAAGCTGCCGATGAGGAAGCCCAGGCTCAGAGAGGACTGGTACATGTCCACCATCCACTCGTCTCCACACACCAGGTCGGACTGCGGACACAACAGTAGTTCATGGTGTGGCTGCGGAATCCGTACAATAACTACACCACTGTAGCTTTTCTGACCTCTGTAACAAAATATCTCCGGTTCTCATAGCCATTCTGGAAAAAAAGGAGGAAAAAGAATAGATGGTAGAAGAAGGGGACCATTTTTGAGCCCAGAATCTTCTAATGTCAGGGATACAAATTAAATTGTCAATAAAAGGTTTCAATTGTCCATTTTGTATGTGCTTTGTTTGTGCTTGTGTATAGTAGTAATGTTATGAAGATTTGAGTGTGAATGAATTTTTACTCTTACAACTTGTTTTCACCATGATGGGGAATGACCATTAACATAAAAGGTCACTGTCTTAAGGTCAGTCCAAACATAACATGATTGAAACGTTGTCGTCCTTCAGTAATAAAACAGTCAAGAACACCTTTTTACTTTTAGAATTGATTTGTAAATGTGTGTATCCAATTAAGTTTTATGAGATACTTTTTCTCAAGTAATTTCTCTTTGTGTGTACTATATGTCAATAAAAGACGTGCTTCTTCTGCCACAACACAAACACAACAGTTATCATTGAACACGGACATAAAGGGGAGAAAAAAGGAAGCGTGCCAGATACTCTGTGGTTAACCCTTCACCAAAAGGCCAAAGGGGGTTTGGATGCGGTTAAATCCATCTCTCTATCTGTCTTTGTGTGTTGTTCTTGATAATAAACTGGAGCAAAGGGCATTTTCTTCAATCACTGTTGAACAAAAACTTGAATTGTTGAAGATTTTGAAGAATCTTGTGAACATAATAAGTTTTCACAACCCCTGCACTGCAAAAATATGATGAAAAACAGGCAAAACATTTCTCAAATTTGACAAAATGTATCATACTTGGAGCACACTCTAACACCCTTAAAACAAGATTTGCCAATGGGACAAGCAAAATTGCTGTATCTTCTTTTATAAAAGATACAAGAAATGTCTCCCTTGGAATAAGAGAATAAATAAGACTAAATGGCTTTGTCCCATTGGCAAATCAGTCAATCAGTCAGGAAAAAACGACCTGATTCAAGCATCTCGTATTTTAGAATTTTTTTGCAGTGTGACTGACCTTTCACTGGGCGAGAGGACCCCCCATCAGGTCCTGGCTCAGCTCGCAGCTCTGGTTCAGGTCCTGCTTCAGCTCGCACTGCAGACAAGAGCTGGCCTGGAGCTCTTGGGGACGGTCCTGCTCACGCTCTCCTCCAGAGACCATCCACAGGCCAGCCTCTGCTCCTGCGCCACGGGCTGACGGCACCAGTGCTCCGGAGTGAAGCCCTGGAAGACGATGCCCACGTAGATCCAGGCCATGGGCAGAGACACCGGGCAGAGCAGGAGAAAGACTCGCTTCTGGCAGCGGCCGAAGGGTCCCACCTCCTGCAGGATCTCATCAAAGCTGACCATGACTGAGGCTCAGCGGGACAGAGCGAAAGGATAACTGCTCCCTCATGTCACTGTCTGATAAAGATCACCACGAGCTGAAGGTTAAAAAACCCTCTGTAATTGTTCAAATACAGTAAGTACACTGGAGAGATTGTAATCAATAAAAATTGCCCTCTTTCCCTCACATACTGTACATACACACACACACCATCTCTATCACACACGGTCTCTATCTCACACACACACAGTCCCTATCACACAGACTCTCACACATGTAGACACATACACACACGGTTCCAACCACAGTCTCCATCTCACAAACGCAGACACACACACACTGTCTCTGTCACACATGTAGACACATACACACACCGTCTCTATCACACATGGTTCCTATCACACACACACGCATGCAGACACACACACACGTTTCTTGTACGTACTAGTAAACGTTACATTATAAAATATATAGACTAGAATAGAAGAGATAAGCACTATCCTCTCCTCCTTCCTACTTTATCTGTTTAGCATTTTTAGGATTCTGACTGTAGTTTGTTCATTGCTATTCACCCGTTGTCCCATTGTCTGTTTCATGGTACGATGACAGTATCTCTGAGCCTGGCCTCTTCCATCTACACCTGCGGACTGCCCCGCCCGACCCGCCTGGGAGTGCTTCAGTCCTGCACCGGACCTGTCCACGTTCAGCGGCCACTGGTCCACGTTCTGTAGCTAGCTTAGGTCCTAGATCATTAGCCTGTCCGTCCGGAGGAGCGGATCCCTTTCTCATATGGGTCTCCCTCCCTGTGGGTTTCCCTAGTTCTCCTCCAAGGTTTCTCACTTTTTCCCACTGGGTTTTTTAAGAGTTTTTCCTTGTCGATGCAGGAGGGTCTTGTTGGACAGTTAGTGTCCAACAGAAAGGATTGGTGATGATCAGGACACTTTAGCATTCTACAACATGTATGGACATTTTCTTCTGTGTGTGCTTTATATTCTTCATGTGTTTTAACTGTTGATTCTCTGACCTGTGTTGGTGATTTCAATGGTTTTGTTAAGTCCTCTGAGATGACTTCTGTTGTGACCTAGGGCTATACAAGAATAAATTGTATTGTATTGTATTGTATAAAGCAAATGTTGGAATGTGTTTATTAAGTATCTGTGTTTCTGTCAGTTCAACCTTTATTCACTCTTTCAGAAAATCTTCAAAGCCAACGTCACAGAACAAATATTTTGCTCTAGAGCAGTGGTTCTGACACAAAATTGATTCGCCAGATCGTTTCTAGTGTGTTGCCTTTCCTTTTGTGTTACCCTTGGATCAAAATGACCCGCCACAAATGGATAAAGCAGAAGAAAGAAGTTGAAATGACCCGGGGCTGATCAAGTTTAGATAAATAATGAAGCTAAAGTATTTAAGAGGAACCAAAGTGTTCAACTTAGCAACATTTTGCAAATAATTTTATTTTTGAGATCCAACACAATCCAAAGGCATTTCTTAGCAAATTCTAATAAAACAACTTAAAAGCAAATCCTGATATTATAATCATGAGCGGAACAAGAGGTGGACATAAACAAAGACTTTATTTAACTTAGAATAAATAATACAGTTGACTATTAAAGGGTCTAATGTGTGTATGTGACCAAACAAACATGTGGACAATGCATTTCCCTTCGAGTTATATTGTATTATTGAATATATATATAAAACAAACATGAACGACAATCGACCAAGAACAGAAGCATGCATTACACCGATGCATAGGGCTCCTTTAAAGCTTTGTGTCAGTCGCCCTGGGACGCCCTGGGACGGCCTTGTTTGCCCGGAGCTCCCACTGCTGCCGTTTTTTAAATTCAGTAAAACTCGTCCGGCTGTAGTTTTCGTGACTCAACAGAAAGAAGGTATCGGAGACGCTGCTTAAACTACGGCTGAGCTCTTGTTGTTGGTCACGTCGCTGGAGGGCAGAAGGTTCGACAGGGCTCCACCGTTCACTCTCTCTTTCATCCTGAATAAAACACAGTCAGGTCAGGAGTTTATAAGAGATACATTTGTATATTATGTGTTTTTATTGTCTGTTTGGTTTGGGACAGTGCTGGTTAAACAACACACCTCTCTGGATTGTAGTTCTAATTTGCAACTTTTTTTGGTATGAACATTAGGACCTCCAGCTTTTTAATGGCCATACAGTGCCTTGCGAAAGTATTCGGCCCCCTTGAACCTTTCAATATTTCGCCATATTTCAGTCTTCAAACATAAAGATATAAAATTTAAATTTTTTGTCATGAATCAACAACAAGTGGGACACAATCGTGAAGTGGAATGAAATTTGTTGGATAATTTAAGCTTTTTTAACAAATAAAAAACCTCAGCTGTAGTTATCTGCAGTTCATGCAGAGCGATCATGGGCCTCTGGGCTGCATCTCTGATCAGTCTTCTCCTTGTTTGAGATGAAAGTTTGGAGGGATATAAAAAACTGAAAAGTGGGGCGTGCAATATTATTCGGCCCCCTTGCGCTAATACTTTTTGCTGCAATTACAGCTGCAAGTCGCTTGGGGTATGTTTCTATCAGTTTTGCACATCGAGAGACCGGAATTCTTGCCCATTCTTCCTTGCAAAACAGCTGGAGATCAGTGAGGTTGGATGGAGAGCGTTTGTGAACAGCAGTCTTCAGCTCTTTCCACAGATTCTCGATTGGATTCAGGTCTGGACTTTGACTTGGCCATTCTAACACCTGGATACGTCCTGGATACATTCCATTGTAGATTTGGCTTTATGTTTTGGATCATTGTCCTGTTGGAAGATAAATCTCCGTCCCAGTCTCAGGTCTTTTGCAGACTCCAACAGGTTTTCTTCCAGAATGGTCCTGTATTTGGCTCCATCCATCTTCCCATCAATTTTAGCCATCTTCCCTGTCCCTGCTGAAGAAAAGCAGGCCCAAACCATGATGCTGCCACCACCATGTTTGACAGTGGGGATGGTGTGTTCAGGGTGATGAGCTGTGTTGCTTTTACGCTAAACATATCGTTTTGCATTGTGGCCAAAAAGTTCGATTTTGGTTTCATCTGACCAGAGCACCTTCTTCCACATGTTTGGTGTGTCTCCCAGGTGGCTTGTGGCAAACTATAAAAGAGACTTTTTGTGGATATCTTTGAGAAATGTCTTTCTTCTTGCCACTCTTCCATAAAGGCCAGATTTGTGCAGTGCACGACTGATTGTTGTCCTATGGACAGACTCTCCCACCTCAGCAGTCGTTATCTGCAGTTCATCCAGAGTGATCATGGGCCTCTTGGCTGCATCTCTGATCAGTCTTCTCCTTGTTTGAGATGAAAGTTTGGAGGGACGGCCGGGTCTTGGTAGATTTGCAGTGGTCTGATACTCCTTCCATTTCAATATAATTGCTTGCACAGTGCTCCTTGAGATGTTTAAAGCTTGGGAAATCTTTTTGTATCCAAATCCGGCTTTAAACTTCTCCACAACAGTATCTCGGACCTGCCTGGTGTGTTCCTTTGTCTTCATGGTTCTCTCTGCGCTTTAAACAGAACCCTGAGACTATCAAAGAGCAGGTGCATTTATACGGAGACTTGATTACACAAAGGTGCATTCTATTTATCATCATCAGTCATTTAGGACAACATTGGATCATTCAAAGATCCTCACTGAACTTCTGGACTGAGTTTGCTGCACTGAAAGTAAAGGGGCCGAATAATATTGCACGCCCCACTCTTCAGTTTTTTATTTGTTAAAAAAGTTTAAATCATCCAATACATTTTGTTCCACTTCACGATTGTGTCCCACTTGTTGTCGATTCATGACAAAAAATTAAAATTTTATATCTTTATGTTTGAAGACTAAAATGTGGCGAAATGTTGAAAGGTTCAAGTGCCTACTTTCGCAAGGCACTGTAAAGCAGCTTTCTAAAAAACAAGGATTTCTTTCACATTCACACAAAAACTAAACTAAGTTTAGATAAGATCGCCTTTATTGATCTCACACAGGAGAAATGTACATGTCTTTTGGCATGGACAGAATCACTCAGATTTGTGAAAAAGACAGAAGTGTGAAACATGTTAAAATATAAGGTCTGTGTAGGATATATTATGTACAATAAAAAGCAATTTAAGAAACAGTGGCAATAGTAGTGCAGTTTTTTTCCCAGTTTTTCTTTTTCAACTGAGCATTCTTCTAAACTGTGATAGTGCTCAACATAATGAATAAAGCTTGCAGTATTTAAAGATCGTTCGTTACTCGACTTAGATATGAAGTGTTTCCCTATAGAGAAAAAATACAATTTACAATCTCTTTAAATGTTATGTATTTTAGTTTTGTTTGTCCCTTGTTTTGTCCCGTTTTGTCCTTGCTTGTTTTTTTGTGCTTGCGTCATTGTTTTTTGTTTGTCTTGATTTTTATTGTCCTTAATAACAAATATTAATCAAATATAGATATAAAAAAGCAACTTTCAACATTTCCATCCTCAGTTCTGACATATTTAAAATGGCTTTTTGATTTTGTTCCAAGGAATGTAGTAGGTACTGGTAGTAAATGTGTTTTTATAGTGTAATTGTGTGAATTTGTGTGAAGAAGAAAGCAGTCACCTTTCTGGAAATTCAATATCGTCGATTGTGTCCGGCAGAGGTAACCCTCTGGTCTCAGGGAGGAGCAGCACCAGACCACCAGCCAGGACGGCGAGGGAACCTACAGGAGGTACCAACCAGTGAGCATGGGAGCAGCAGGAGGTGCATGAAGCTGCTTAGTCCTACTCAGGGATCTAGGTACTACTGCATTTCTAGCTTATTTTACTCCTGTACTTTTAGCTTGTTTTATTCTTGTACTCAGTGTCAATGTGTGTTCTCAGTGCGCAGAACTACTGTTTGGAATGATTTATAAGATAAGATAAGCGTTATGGATCTCACAATGAATAAATGTACACGTCACATTTGGCGAGGATCGATAGAATCACTCAGGTTGTGGCTGAGAGGTGTAGTGTCGGAGAGTGTTTGGGCCTGTGTGTTGTCAGAGTGAGTGTGTGTTTTGTTCTATTTGTATCCCTCCTGACCTGCGCCTGCTCGAAGGGAACATTCAGTGCTATGCACCACCCTCTGGCGGTCAGGAAGGATTCATAGAGCTGTGGTTAATAGGTTCATTTTGTCTGTCTAATGGTGCTTTCAGACCGCCAACGCTGAAACGCTGAAACGCCCCGCTCACCAGACGCGCATTCTCTAGTTTTCAGACGCAGAGGTCTTCACACCGAGATGTCCTGACGCGGACCGGAAGTACCGGAAGTAGCCGGCCCGCTCTGATGCTAACAGAGTTTAGCTAGCGGCTTCTTGTGTACAGATCTTCTCCAATATGCAACTTTACAGCGTGTCTTTGTTCAGAGACTTTCCACGGGCTTTCTATAACAGTAGTATGTGTTCACGGAGGCGCGCTATAGGTGTTTTCATATTATTAAACTGTATTTCCGCATCGGCGAACACACTCGAAGCAGTTGCATGAGGTCACGGGAGCATGAAAACCCATATATTCACAAGCACACAGTCCCCCATTGTCAACCCTGGTTTGAGTTCTGGTGAAGCCTGGTGTGGGTCCTGTTTTGGCTGTTTATGAATATTTTCAGTCTGCTCGCTCAGTCCGCTAACGTCCCCGTGACCACTTTGCGGCTCTGATTGATTGTCGCACACGAACGTCCCGAGGAAAGGTTGAGCAGAATCCATCTCCTGTGGCTGTCGATTTTTCGCTCCTGCTCCTCCCTTTTCACTTTCCCGCCAAGTCTGTGTGTCTCTACTGAACAGTCCGTCAGAGGACGGACTGTTCAGTAGACACCGAGAGGTCCGTGCGTTGTGACGTTCGAACGCGAGTCACCATAGACTTTGCATTGAAAGCAGAAGCAACGCATGATCCGGTCTGAAAGCACCATTCTGTGGTGTATTGTAATACTGTATGTAGTGTTCTTTGTATGTTTGAGAAGTGTGTGGTGGGGTTATGTTTTGGTTGCAAGTTCGAAATGCAATGAATAAATAATTTTACTTTTAGTTTGTTTTTTTCTGTACTTTTTAGCTTGATTGATGTACTTGTCTGGTTCACACTGGGGACTATTGCACAAGTATTCCAGTGGGGTTATACTGCAAATGGCAAATAAAATGAATGTGAATCTGCACATTACTAAATAAATACCAAATATGATGAGGGGCAACTCCAGCCAGATCACGGCCAATCTGTAGAGCAGGAAGGGAGCCACGATGCCCCCCACGTCACAGAGGGTGGAGCACACGGACACGCCAAAGTTCCTATGAGAATGTATGTTGTTAAATGTCAATAAAGTTGCAACTGAAAGCTACCAGGACGCTGCTTCACCTGACGAACGTTGGGTAGAGCTCTGTGTTCACAAAAACTACCATTTCAAAAGTCATAGTGATGCAGAGACGACCGACGCAAGCCACAGCCGTCTTGAACAAGAACATACCTGAAAGAAATGTTCGAATAGATAATAGGAAAAGATGAGATAATCCTTTGTTTCTCAGAGGAGGCATTTCAGTGTCAGAGCTGTGCACATTACAGCAGACCACAAGGAGAAATACAAATCAAAGGATCTATTATTATGAAGATGATACTTAGGTAATAAAATAAAAATATAAGATCATAAAATGAGCTCTGAAACAAACAAGTCCAGAAGTAATTGAGTCATTATTGACATTCAAGATTTTCAATGGGTTTAAGGAAAGCTTATATACATCTGTGTGTGTAATCAAGTTAGGTCCACTTGATTAAATTGGTGCGCCCTAAGTCTCTGGGTTTGTGACTCACTATCTGGAATACAGGCGGTGATAAAACAAGACGCTCCCGCCACAAAGTTGGCCGTGGCGAAGGGAAGACGTCGACCGATCCTCTCGATGGTGAAGAGGATGAGGAGGGCGGCGGGGAACTCCACCAGACCCGAGATCAGGAAGTCTATGTAGACGTTTCCTCCCAGGATCCCCAGCCTCATGATGAGCCCCTGGTACACCACTGCACTGGTGAACCTGCAGGGACAGAATCCATGTTTGAGTTTTTCCTCGCCGATACAGGAGGGTCTAAGGACAGTGGTGATGATCCAGGACACTCCACATTCAACGATATCTATGAACATTTATCAACATTCATGGACATTGGTCTCTGCCCCCTGGACCAATGGCTTTGTGTGTTTTTTAGCATTGTGTTTGATTCTCTGATCTGTGTTGGCGAATTCAACAGTTTTGTAAAGTCCTTCGAGATAACTACTGTTGTGATTTAGGGCTATACAAAAAATAAATAATTTAATTGACTTGGAGTGTGGATGTACAGAATGTGGAAGACAATATTATTATGGAAGATATTTTGTATCATCAGATTTTGACATTTTCAACCCTGAAAAAGCATGTTTAAATATTTTTGTCTTTGCATTTCAGTCACTAAATCTTCAGTTTACAAAATTTCAAAATGACATATTCAACATCAAAATATTCAATACGGTTTGAGGTTCAGTCACTGATTTTCAATTTTATAATGTGGTTCCAAGACTAAATATTCAAACATGCTTTTTATGAGTAAAAAATTTCAAATGGATAAATTCTAGCTCATTTAAAATTCAAACTCTGATGACACAAAACATCTTCCATAATATTACCTTTGTGTGTACCTCATTGGGAAAGTGAAAGATTTTAGACCCAGACAGAGATGAGTCACACTCGAATAGATTTTCTGAAGCAGCAATTTAGCCCTTCTTGACTTGAGTAAGAATTCTGTATGGAGTAAAGCTGCCATATTTGTTTCAATCTCTTCCTCAAAGTGTGGGATTTTGTGCTGAAAATCTTACCACTACTTGTCTTAATATTAGGTGAGTGATTGTGCTTGTATAATTTGGTCTTTAGCTTTCTTTTGATTATGTTAAAATACGTCATTTCAATCAAACTAGGAGTCAAGTTGTAGTATTCCCAAAACACTTTGAAATGACTTTTTGGTTCATTACTTTTGAATGTCTCGGACTCTCGGATTATAAATACAGGAGCTCCACAGGGCTTTGTTCTTTCTCCCCTGCTCTTCTCCCTGTACACCAACCACTGAACCTCCAGCCACGACCCCACCCTCATTGGACTCATCTCCAACAACGATGAGTCCGCCTACAGGAGGGAGGTGGACCGGCTGGTGTCCTGGTGCAGTGGTAACAACCTGGAGCTGAACGCCCAGAAGACAGTGGAGATGATTGTGGACTTCAGGAAGAGCACAGTCCCCCCGCCCCCACCCTCCGTGATGGACTCCCCCATCACCTCTGTGGAGTCCTTCCGTTTCCTGGGCACCACTATCACCCAAGACCTCAAGTGGGAGCCGACCATAAGATCCCTCATCAAGAAGGCCCATCAGAGGATGTACTTCCTGCGGCAGCTCAGGAAAGCCAAGCTGCCTGCACAGATGTTGGTGCAGTTCTACACGGCCATCATCGAGTCCATCCTCACCTCCTCCGTCACCGTGTGGTTCGCCGGAGCCACAGTCAGGGACAAACAGAGACTACAGCGCATTGTGCGCTCTGCAGAGGAAGTGATCGGCCGCAGCCTTCCATCGCTGCAGGACCTGTACGTCGCCCGAGCTCGAGGCCGGGCTGGTCGTATCACAGCCGACCCCTCTCACCCTGCACATGGACTATTCCAACCACTCCCCTCAGGCAGGAGACTGCGGTCCATCAGGACTAGAACCTCCCGCCACAAGAACAGTTTCTTCCCCTCTGCTGTTGGACTCTTGAACACTTCTTAACCTGTCCCCCCGCCCTTTATAAAGTCACTTTACTGCCCATCATACGTCACTTTACTTCACTGTACTGCTGTCACTTTACATTGTGTGCACCATGTGCACTTGTATATTGTAAAAAGTAACAGTAGACCACTGTCTGTAGGTGAGATTTGGGAAGAAAAGGTTGAAGACATTTTTGGTGTATTGCATGATTAAGGTTAAGGTTAAGGTATACCTTTTTCTCCTTTGCATTTGACCCGTCCTTCAATCTCAATCAATCAAAGTTTACTTGTAGAGCGCCTTTCATACACATGTGCAACACAAAGCGCTTCACAGTCCACATCACAAATCATCACATAAAACAAACACCATCACAGTTAAAACATTAAAATCCCACGAAATTAAATTAAAACAAAATTACAGAAGGAATTAGAAAAAAAAATAAAAATAATAACCACAGCGCATTGAAAAAAAAAAGCTAAAATCCTTCAGTAATGTGCACAGGCAAACAGAAGAGTCTTTAACCTGGATTTGAACATTGTCAGAGTAGACGCCTCTCTCACACTTTCAGGGAGACTGTTCCAGATTTTAGCAGCATAAATCTGAAAAGCAGCCTCCCCATGTTTAGTCCTGACTCTGGGCACTAACAAGAGGCCAGTCCCTGTGCTCCTCAGAGTCCGGCTCGGTTCATATGGGACCAGCATATCACCAATGTATTTTGGTGCAAGGCCATGGAGAGACTTGTACACAAGCAGAGCTGTTTTAAAGTCTATTCTCTGAGCCACAGGAAGCCAGTGCAGAGACCTGAGAACTGGACTAATGTGGTCGTACTTCCTGGTTCTAGTCAGGACTCGAGCTGCAGCGTTTTGAATGTACTGCAGCTGTTTTACAGCCTGTTTGGAGAGACCTGTGAGCAGGCCATTGCAGTAGTCTAACCTAGAATAGGTAAGAATAAGAATCTCCAGGTCTGCTTTGGACACTATATTTCTTATACACTATATATTGCATGTAGTGAATTTGCTATATACCAGCACAGTAACCGTGACATAAGCACTCCTACAGAGGGAGCCTAAGGAAAGTGTTTAAAGGTTGGATGTACAAAGAAATCTACATACTGGGATGTAAGGTGAATAAATAATATGAATAATATACTGTGGTCATTTTGACTGTGGTATATTTGAGAACCCAGAGCCAGTGCATTACAAACCATGTCATATTATGGCTGTAGCAATTGAGAAACCTTACCGCCTCATTTAGGTCAATTTGTGACAGACATTTCTGCTAACAATTTTACTGCCAAAGTAACAAGGTATTGTACATGCATTTTAAAGTATTTTGGAGTTACACAAATTACATACAAATAATACTTCAAGGCATCTTGTTTTTTCATTTTCACAGAAAAACTCATATTTCATGTAAAGCAGCTTTATTTGTTACAAGTCTCTCCATGGCCTCGCACCAAAGTACATCTGTGACATGTTAGTCCCATATGAATAACTCTGAGGAGCACAGGGACTGACCTCCTGCTGGTGCCGAGTCAGGACTTAACATGGGAAGGAAGCATTTCAGATTTATGCAGCTAAAATCTGATATAGTCTTCCTGAAAATGTGAGACGGGATTATACTCTGGCAAATCCAGGTTGAAAGTCCATTGTATCTTCACTCTATTTATTTGACTGTGATTATTATGTATTTTAATGAATGCCTTATGTGATCTTCTTAAGCACTTTGAGTTTCCTTGTGTATGTACTGTGCTATACAAATAAACTGTCAAGCACCTTCAAAGTGTAGATGCTGTGTAGATGCTGTCTTCAAAGCATCTACACACTGGGATGAATTAAAACTGCTCTTTTATGAATAAAGATCATGTTAAAATACACGTCTGTAGAATATGTTTGTATCATGGCAAGTTTAAACAAATGGAGAAAAGTCTAGCTCATGGTTTGGAGTGTTGTCTCTTGGCTGCACTGCCCACTGTTACCAGCAGGTGTCAGTAACGAGCATTGTGTGTTCACTGAATGTACTGGTCAAACCCCTGACCCACAGGGACTACATAAAACCTACCAGTTGTAGCTGAGAATGAACGTGTGTTTCCTCATTTTAGGAGTACGGATCAGGTCCATAAAGGAGGCGGTGGTGGATTCTGCGTTGTCGTCTGCCAAAGTCTGCCAAAGATTAGAAAGAAAACCGAGGAGAAATGTCAAGATGTTTCATTTATATTTAAGCTCAAGCCCCAACTGATGCTTTTCCAAAGAGGGTTGAAAGATGTCGAGGTGTTGACCCCCTGAAAAAGCACAAAAACTCACAAAAATTTGCCCAAAATCCAGTTACGCCGAAGAATTTATGCTTTTTGTGTTTTTCATGGAGATTACAATATTTATGTGTTAGCACCACCTTCAAAAGTAAATCTACATTTTGCCTATTCGAGTTGCTTTGACGTTAGTTTTGTCAAAGTAGAGTCACAAAATTCTGTACACTCATTCAGGAATAAAAAAAGTATGAAAATGAAAATTGCCGCTTTTCACTAGTATGAAAACAAACCAGCCTCTATCTCTTCATCATTTTGGCTCAAAATCGCTCAGCCTCATCTCCACACAGTGTGATCAGTTAAACACCGTACGAGCCTCAGAGCTGCAAATTTACATGACATGTTGTTTTCCAATTTTGAGTCCAGTTAGCACCAAGTTCATTATTTTTTCTTACAGATTTTACATGTTTTTAAACAGATCTGTGATGCTTGTTTCCCCAAGTGAACCAGACCATAACCAGACTAGCAAGTATATTCAGGCCTGAATGAATAAACTTGTCAGTGATAGCACTGAACCATGAATGCTTTTATGTCTTGATACAAAAACAGACTGAGTCAATGATCTACAGCCTGTTTGTCTGTGGGAGTAGATCCTCTCTCAATGTGGGCCTCAACAAGATTTCTCACTTTTTTTCCCACTGGGTTTTTTGGTCCTCCCGCTCCCCATGGACCAATGGCTCCTATGTGTTTGTTATTATTGTATTTCTTGTGTTCAAACTGTTTGCTGCTAAGCTTTTTTCAAACAGAAAAGGCAAAAGTGTCAAATGTTGACTGTCATTGTCTTTCTTAGACGTATGCAATTGATAACTGATGTAAAGATAAATTGTTTTCTAATGAAATCGGGACAGCATGTTGTGTCCTGATTTGTTTTTTTTACTTTTACGAGACTCATTTGGACAAATAAACATGGCTTAGCTATGAGGAAAGAGAAACTTACAATTCCCAGCTTTAAGTCTAGCCTTAATATACAGAAACCGCGTTATCGGTCATTGGATTTACTCCATGCAACTATTCAAACAGCACTTTTCTCCTTGATATAAACGCTGTTGTTGTTTCAGGAGGGATGTGGGGTAGGTTCCTTGGGGGTCTCTGTGAGTGCAGCTGTGGGGCCAGGGGTCTGTACCTCTATCTTCTTGGAGAGGGTCATGTTGTTCTCTTTAGCTATGGCTTCAGTGATCCGCACAGCCTGCTCCTTCTTGTTCTGGGACAGGAGCCACCGCGGGGACTCCGGGATAAACCTGCAGCAGTCACATGATCAGTCCACCACATCAGTACTTGTATCAGTCACAGTCCTGGATACCAGTGGTTTTATAATCTAAAAAACATTACCAGGATCAAAACCATTGTGTCTAAAGCAGGAGATACTTCTTCAGGAGATTCTTATCCTGCTTTGGTCTCCAGTAGGTGAGACAACTGTAGTGGCCTCCTCACTGGTCCCTCTAAATGAGTTGTAAAACAGCTGCAGTACATTTGAAATGCTGCAGCTCGAGTCTTGACTAGAACCAGGAAATACGATCACATTAGTCCAGTCCTCAGGTCTCTCCATCTACATCTGTGACATGTTAGTGCCATACAAACCAATGAGGACTCTGAGGAGCACAGGGACTGACCTCCTGCTGGTGCCCAGACTCAGGACTTAACATGGGGAGGCTGCATTTCAGATTCATGCAACTAAAATCTGGAACAATCTTCCTAAAAAATTGATAGACAGACTTCTTCTCTGTTAAGATCCAGGTTAAAAACAGTTCTGTTTTTTGCAATGTTCAATTAAATAATCATCTGATTTTCTCTGGTAATTTCCCTCTGAGGTTTCTGTTCCTCTATGATATCTGCTTTTTGTGACTCTAGTCTGTGGTATTTGCATACTGTAAGTGACGAGCTGGGAGCTCACCATGTGAGAGGTCGTCTATTCAGAGAATAACGATGTCTTGTCCTGTAATGAGGTCCTGTGTCCTGAATGTTCGAGGATAACATTTTTGCACCTCAAATAATGTGCAGACAATGATAAATGTGACTATTGAGTTGAGCAGTCTTATTTTTCTCAATTTTTAATAGTGCCTTTGAATAATTTGATGGACATGAATCTTGATTTATCCCAGAATCTAATCGCAACATTTACTGTAATGCCATATGTTAACAATCCCAATGCTATTGAATTGTGGCCCAAATATCATAATACTACCCCTCTCTAATTAACACACATAACTTTTGGGCATCTCACCAGTAGTAGGAGAGGAAGAAGATGTAGGGGACGGTGATGACCACTTGTAGCCAGCGCCAGTCACTGATGTAGTAGGCGAGCAGAGGTAAGATGAGGATCCCCACGCTGAAGAACATCTGGTACACCACCCCCACCGTGCGCCGGTACTCTACCCCCACCAGCTCCGTGACTGCAGCAACAGCAGCAGTTTAAACACAGCCAAAGCAGAGTTAAAGCTGCTGTACCCAACTTTGAATCCACACAAAATAATGATGTGAACATTCCATTGCCCCTGGCTCTTAACTGTTTGGTTCTATACATTCATTTATAATTATTGGGACATTATTTAAGTCATGTCATTCCACATTTGGTTGCAGGTTTTTTTTTTTTTTTTTATGTATTTCTTCAACATCTATATGCATGTGAAAACTAGCTTTGAGAGTTACAGTGGGGAAAAAACGTACTTAGTCAGGCACCAACTATGAGACAGAATGAGAACAAAAAAATCCAGTTTATTTTTTAATTTATTTGCGAATTATGGTGGAAAAAATGTGTTTGTCACCTAGAAAAAAAGCAAGATTTCTGGCTCTAACAGACCTGTAAGTCCTTCTTTAAGAGTCTGTTCTCCACCTCTTACCTGTATTAATGGAACCTGTTTGAACATATTATCAGTATAAAAAAACACCTGTCCACAACCTCAAACAGTCACACTCCAAACTCAACTATGGCCAAGACCAAGACCAAATCCATTTCTGGGTCAGAGCTGCACCCAGTACACAGAGCACCAGCCCCTCACTGATCCTCCTGCAGGTGGCGAGTCCACAGGAGTACTGTGGGAACAATAATTAGAAAATGGAAGACATACAAGACCAATGACAATCTCACTCAATCTGGGGGTTAGGGTTAGGGTCAAGATGATCACAAGAACGGTGAGCAAAAACCCAAGAACCACACGGGGGGACCTGGTGAATAACCAGCAGAGAGTTGGGACCAAAGCAACAAAGGTTACCATCAGTAACACACTACGACGACAGGGAATCAAATCCTGCAGTGTCAGACGTGTCCCCTGCTTAAACCTGTACATGTTCAGGCCCAAATGAAGTTTGCTAGAGAGAATTTGGATGATCCAGAAGAGAATTGGGAGAATGTCATATGGTCAGATAAAACTAAAATAGAACTTTTTTGTAAAAACTCAACTCGTTGTGTTTGGAGGAGAAAAAACGTCATACCTACTGTGAAGCATGGGGGTGGAAACATCATGCTTTGGGGCTGTTTTTCTGCAAAGGAACCAGGACAACTGATCCGTGTAAGAAATAATGAATGGGGCCATGTTTCGTGAGATTTTGAATGAAAACCTCCTTCCATCAGCAAGGGCATAGAAGATAAAACATGGCTGGGTCTTTCAGCATGACAATAATCCCAATCACACCGCCCGGACAACAAAGGAGTGGCGTTGTAGGAAGCATTTCAAGGTCCTGGAGTGGCCAAGCCAGTCTCCAGATCTCAACCCAATAGGATAATCTTTGGAGGGAGTTGAAAGTCTGTGTTGCCCAGCAACAGCCCCAAAACATCACTGCTGTAGAGGAGATCTGCATGGGGGAACGGGCCAAAATACCAGCAACAGTGTGTGAAAAGACTTACAGAAAACATTTGAGCTATGTCATTGCCAACAAAGGGTATCTATCTTTGTTATTCACCAAATACTTATAGCCACCATAATTTGCAAAAAAAAAAAAAAAAAAAATCAGACAATGTTAATTTTTTATTATTTTTTCATTCTATCTCTCATAGATGAAGTGAGAACATGCACAATTGGTGGCTGACTAAATACTTTTTTACCCCACTGTAGATGGATTTTGTATGTGTTGTGTTGTGTGGTTTAAAACTTGATGTGAGAAAAGTGAGGTACATCAGCTTTAACCCCGTGGCACCCTCGGTTACAAAGGTTATGGCAAAAGAAGTGTGACTTTTTGGTTTAATGCTATAACTAATGTATGTACCCAAGAACCCAAAGACGCAAATATGCTACATTGCCAAATTTGGGTTATTGAATACTGGGTTCTACACTGCAAAAAGTTATGAAAAATAAGTAAAAAAATTGTCACATTTTACAAAAGGTTCTTTTCAAAAAGATACAAGAAATGTCTCCCTTGAAATAAAATATATAAAATGCCTTATCCTCTTTGGCCAATCTTAGTCTTCTGACGTAGACCAAGAAGTATCCTGGTTTCCCCTGTGGTCACAGAAGCCTGTGAAAGCTGCACAAGTGGCACATAAGTGGTGATTCTCTTACTGAGCACGTATCCGGCCACCCAGCCTCCTTTCACGCCGAAGCCATACAACGTCCTGAACACCAGCAAAGACACGTAGTTGGGCGCTACGGCAACCAGGATTCCAGCTATCCCATTCAGCAGGTTGGACATGAGGAAGGAGAGCTTACGGCCGAACCTGCACAGACCCCGAGACCCCACTACTGTAATTAACCATTACTGTTTGTATTTTGTGTCACTGTGTGTTTGGGAGGTAAAAGTAACCACCAGTGTTCGGTAAGTTACTGTAAACTGGAAATATTAATAGATAATTAGTAACTGAGATAAAAGAAAGTATATCTGTATTACATTATTAGTGTCTTTAGAAGTGACACTATATTGAGTTACGTTTTGAGAATCCCATCTGATGTTATTCCAAATGTTTTATTTCAAATATGTATTAAATATGCAGTAACTTTGATTGTAACCCTAATATATCACACATTTTCACTTTTTAACAAGTTACACAGTGACTTCAAAAGGGAATTTATTACTGAGAATAAAATAAAGTATAAGTGAGTGTGTGAGTAATAACCTCTGATTCAAAAGCAACAGAACTTTACCTGTCGGCCAAGTATCCGATGGCGATGCTCCCGATGAGGAAGCCCACGTTCAGAGTGGCCTGGTACATGTCCACCAGCCACGCATCAGAACACACCAGATCAAACTGGAACCACATCAAAACCACATCTAGACATGTTTACACAAACAAACGGGTCATAAATTTGGAGCAGCCACAGAACGCACTCAGGACGTTACTCGAGTAAAAATACTGGTCCTATGTAGAGCTGCAACTGATCATTGCTTCATCTCCCGATTTTTCATTTGATTAATCTATTGGTTGTTTGGAAGTCTGATTTTGATCTAAACTTTAGACACAAAAGTTAAATCCATTGGAGACGGAACATTCAAAAACAAAAACACCATTTCCAAACGACATTCAGACTCTTATCCATTTCAAGTTTGTTGTCATTGATCCTCAGTTGAACTCTTAAAATCACGTCTCAGCACATTCCTATTTGGAGTCTGTTATCGCAGCAACGATTAATCGACAACAGTTCATTATCGAGAAAAACTTTAGTGGAAATGAAATCGCTTACTGTAACCCTTAACATGTTGCACACTTGTCTGTCTTTTTGCACAATCTGAGTGATTCTATCTATGCCATTGTGACATGTAGATTTCTCCATTGTGAGATCCATAAAGTTTTGCTTATCTTACCTTACTATTCATCTATGGGGTAAAACACACATAGTTGTATGTTTTACATAATAAAGTAACTCAAGAAGATTGAAGAGTAGCTGTTTATAAGCACAATTATTTTTCTATATATTTAATGTGTCATCTTTAAATACATTGCCACAGTTGTAACAGGGGAAAGGCAGTCATAACTTCAGCCAAAATCTCTTTGGGTCAGGCATTATTTAGCACTAAAGTTATTAATATACACAGTTCAGTTTTTTATTTCTTGTCGTGAAATGTGTATCTGACCTTATCTAGTGTTCATAATGACAGTAAAAAAAAAAAAACTGCTACTACTTCTACTAATACCAGGGAAAATAGAAACATGTGTCTTACCTCAGTGACAAAAGACTGCCTGCCCTCATAGTTGTACTCCCAGCCGTGTTTGCAGCCGCTGGTGGGACTCTGGCTCAGGTCCTGGCTCAGCTCGCAGCTCTGGTTCAGGTCCTCCTTCAGCTCGTACTGCAGACAGGAGCTGGCCTGGAGCTCTCCCGACACGTTCACCTTGGGGACGGTCCTGCTCACGCTCTCCTCCAGAGACCATCCACAGGCCAGCCTCTGCTCCTGCGCCGCGGGCTGACGGCACCAGTGCTCCGGAGTGAAGCCCTGGAAGACGATGCCCACGTACACCCCGGCCCAGGGCATGGACACCAGGCAGAAGAGGGCGAAGATGCGTTTCTGGCTTCGTCCGAACTTCCCCGCTTCCTCCAAGATGTCGTCGAAAGTGGTCATGATTCAGAGGAGGCTGTGGGAGTGTGTCCCAGCGCAGACTGAGCCTCCGCAGCCTCTGAGCCCCGTGGTTTTAACAGAGCAAAGAGAGCAAAGGTCCAAATAGGGGAGAGCAGTGCAGCCATTAAAACATGTAGACAGTAACTTAGATGGCGTCAGAGAGCGTCATGTGCAAAAGAATACATCTAATCAGTAACAACAGCACCTTATTATCATTTAAAATATGTATCTTGAATTAAACTTATCTGAGAATACATGTTAGATGCTGTACAGTAGAGCCGGGATTCATCAAAACAAAGGTAAGTTTTAGAAATTGGAATAACTCAAAATGCAGAGAAAAATAAATGCCTAAATGTTAAATTAAAATCTGTCTGGAAATTTCTATTTCAATTCCTGCCATTGTTCTAAACCAGTGGTTCTCAAACTTTTCACACCAAGTACCCCCTCAGAAAATACTTGCCTTCCAAGTACCACCCCAAATGATCACACCACACAGTAGCGTAGTAAGCCGAAGTATTCATCAAAAACAAGGCAGGTTTCATTCCTAAAGAAGTATATTTAATGTAATATTTTACACAGTTTGAACAGTAAGACTGCGCTTAAATATAGGAAAAAATGTTTTTTAAATGTTTCATTTATTACAAACTGCAAAGCCTCACTGTGAGTGATATTCTGGAGTGGGATCTTTGTCCACAGAAGGTTTGGACTCTGGTGCACTTTAGTTTCTAAGGCTTGGTCTGCTGCCCTCGTACATCTGTCGTTTACTCAGAGACATGTTCATATGGTTTGGATCAAATTATCGTTTGTTGCTCTCTGTTCCTTTTGTACAGAACTGGGAAAAAAACTTTTGTTTTTGCTGCTCCTTCTACATGGAACGTGTTGCAAAAAGACTAGAAATGATCTGATCTTATTTCCTTGAATGCTTTTAGATCCAGATTGAGACATCTTCAGTGAAATGTAACTGTTTTTATAATCCGTAATTTTATGAAATTGTGTGTTACTGTTGTATAATCTGTATGTGACTTTCATAATCTGTAATTTTATGTAATTTTTGTACACGAAAAAGAGGTTCTCATTGACTGCCAGCCATTTTTTGATGACTTCACTGAATTTTAAGATTCACAGAATATTGTGTGCTATGAAAAATATGAAACCAGAGTCTGAAAGACAGGACTGTCTACTTTCAGCAGCAAAAAGAAGTTTGTTCTTAGTTTGTTTCGTTCTCCTGTGATCTCCAGTCGAAAAGAGGGGAGTGTGACAAAAAGCACCAGTCTTGGACAAAAAAATGATAAAATGAGGTTTTTGTGAAAACAGACGAACTGCAGAAAAGTGATTGTAAAACTATTTAGTTTGACTTTAGCATCTCCTCAAACATGTCCAGGATCTTACATATTAGAAAACAGCAACAACACATTATGAGAAAGTGTTTTTGATGCAAAATAATACGTTTTATGGCACACACACCCACACACACCCACATCCACAAAGTAGAGCCCATGACATGTGGAAAACTTTTCTTTCAAGTGAGTTTGTTTCTTAAAAAAGACCTTTTGCCATTTTTTGTCCCATCTTGGTTGTCATACATGGTTTAAAAATGTCAACAATTATTGAGTGAAATTGTAGAAAAAAAAGAAAAGAAATGTATGCATTTTTCCTGGTTCTTGGAGAAATCCTGGTTCATACCTTACAGGCAGTAGCCCAGTCCAGGATTTGTACTGCTGTGAGATTCATTTTCCACAAAATCAAAAAAAATTATAACTGAATTAGATATTGTGTGCGAATAATTTGCGGCTGAATGTTCATAGTGGGGACGTCACAAGTCGAACAAGTCTGTCCAAACAAATTCAGACATTGTAAATAAGTTAAAGCCCTGATCTAGACTCGTTATATACTTGTGTTTTAGTGTGTTGTGCATTTTGAGCCATCAAGAGTCGACCACAGTGAAGAGCAGATCTCATATTTATTCAAATGCAATAATTTACATCACTGTCCTTTATAGACAAACAGGCAAAGAGTGGAAACAAACATGAAACGTACCAAGATCACGGCCCATGGCTTTGAACCATTTCATTTTACCCAACAGTGATCCAGAGTGCAGTTAAACTTTGGGCTTTACAAAAACAAAACCATATTCTCATTTTAACAAAGACAAAACAACGTCCCCAAAACCAGAAACATTTACAGTCTGCGTTGATCCAGAAGAGCGCGGTGCTACAGCAGAGAAGACTTCACATCGTTGTCACGGATCGACCACTCGACAAAGAGCGGAACTCAACAGAAAGCGCCAATAACATGTTTTTGTTTGTATAATTGTAGAGTCTCTCAAAAAGAAGCAGACTGAAAACAAAGAGAATGAGAAGTGGAGCCACAGCCTTCATGAGAATCTTTGGAGAGAGATCTTCTGTGAGCGCACGGTTCAGGTTTGATATTCTAATAACTAAAAACCGACAGTGCGTTGGACATGATAATTTTTGGCATTATAAAGTCCCAATAGTCTTTGTGTATTTCATTTATAGCAACACTACACAGCTTTTAACACCACCCTGGTCTGAACAAACAATAAGTGAGAACTTCTACTTACTCGACCAACTCAAAATCATATGAAAACATGTTTCATGGTTCAAATGAAAACATGATTCAACCAATAAAATATGTAAAACTTTCTTAAATAAAACTGTATTTTCTGTCATAATTCTGAGGGCCTCAGACATTACAGACAGGCTGGACAACACACTTGTAATCCAAGTAATAAATACTGGTGTCATGGATAAATGATTATTTCTTTAAAATCAAAAACACTGAAAGTTGTGACTTGAGGTCAATTAAGGAGAATATGTGACTTTTAATAATTGTATGTAACGTGGCGCCAGGACAGAGGTCAATTGTGTCTGAAATAGAGATTTTCAAGGGAAACGTGAAATTTAAATTCATCAATCAGGCTTTTGTGAAGGGTCAAAGGTGGCAAAAGTGGGATACCGACAACCCTGGGTGAAATATGTCCTAAACTTCTCCTTATAGAGTGCAATATACAAAACATGATGTATGAACTAACTGTTAATCAAAGACACAAGAATAGGTTTGGCCCTCAGCCTGCTTTTGGGTAATTCCTTTATGAATACTGGGGAAGCATTATTTGGCAACCAGGAGTAATTAGCAAACGCTTGGCTTCAGAAAGTGCCGTGAGCTCCACACAGTCACATCATTGCACTAATGTTGAAGGTAAAGTTAAAATATGGCTTTAAGAGGAGCTTGTCGTCCAACACCTGGCTTCTCACTGCCTCACACTCATTATTTCACTCTTAAGGCCTTTCACATATGTTCAGACAGACTTAAATAATCATGATATGGTGAAGTCGTCCTCACCAGAGACACAGAACAAACATGTACAAAGTCTTGGACCTGGACAAGACCAGATCGAGACCAGGATCAGGCAACTGCATTTGTCTCCATAGGATTAATATATTCCCTTTAGAAACACATTCAACGGCTATGTCCAGCAAAAATCTGCTTCTCCTTCCATCATCAGTTAAGATATGCAACAACAAAAAACAAGCAAAACATACGACAACCCCAGAAGATGACAGTACAACTTTTAAATTCAAACTTTATCAAAATTGGCAAACTGAAAGTATCAAAATGAGCTTATTTCCTGCCTTTTCGCTAATTATCAAATGTATTATAAGTAGAATTTCGTAAAACGTCCAACGGGAACAATGCGTTTGACTTTAGTTTTGCCGCTTCCTGGACCTCGGTCAAAAACTATCGCAGAAAAATAAGTGCTACGGAAAAAAATGTTGTCTTGTGAGGTTGACTTGAACGATTTGTCAGTTATTCCAGGTTAAAGGGGACGGAGCGCAGACGTTAATAAATAAGAAACCATATGTGCAAACACCAGCGGTCTCGCCCACGTCTGCGCTGTACAAAAAGGTGCTGTGTCCGACTAAAAACCAAAAAGTCCCGAGAGAGAAAACTCAAGCCCGCTGCCGTCGCCCCGGAGACATTCACTGAGAGAGAGAAAGAGTTTGGCGAAACAGGAAGAGGAAGTGACGTCACACCCGCAGTAGGTCTTCGTCGCTGTCTTCCTCGTCCTGCTTCTGATTGGAGGTCGCCGTGCCGTTACCGTGACTGAAGGGGCGCGGCCTGCTCGGCTGTCGTCTTCGGTCCGAGTCGTCCAGGAGCCCGACCAGGTCTTCATCGCTCTCCTCCTGATGACATGAGAGTGAGAGAGTGAGTGTGTGAGAGAGAGTAAGAGAGTGAGAGAGAGAAAGAGTGTCAGTGAGTGAGAGTGAGTGAAAGAATGAGTAAGAGAGTGAATAAGAGTGAGAGAGCAAGTAAGAGAGTGTGAGTGAGAGAGTGAGAAAGAGTGTCAGTGAGAGTGTGAGTGTGAAAAAGAGTGTGAGAGTAAGAGAATGAGAGAGAGATTGAATGTGAGAGTGAGAGAGAATGAGAGTAAGAGAGGCAGAAAGAGTGAGGGTGAGATAAATAGTGAGCAAAAGGGAGTGAGAGAGTGAGATCCAGTATAGAGTGACCAATGAGAGCTGAATGATTGTTGCAAATGATCTATATTGCAAAATTTCTAACATTGTGATTGTCAATGTCCCGTATGATTAAAGAGTCTTATTTTGTTCAGAGTTAACTCTTAGAGTAGAGTAAACCTCGTCCCTCCCTAATCACACAAAAAACAAGTCCTGTGTATGTCCTTGCCTTTCCTGGTGTCGCCTCTCTCTACTGTTCACATAAACCACAGCTGATCGAGCGATGTCTGAATTCTTTCCTTTGCCTGAGGAATTACCGCAGTATCACACCACAATAAATAAAAAAGAAGCAACAAAAGCCAGACCTGCAGTTTATATAAATAATGAAAATATGAGAGGTTTGATTTTGAATTATGAAATAATGCTTCTGCCACAAAAGATAATGTTCCATTGACAAATCCTCAGACACCAATGCCAGTGATTTCTGGCAAATATTTAGTCCTTTCTTATTGCAGTCTTTAAGTTTTGCCAATTGCAACCCCGAAAAAGATTTTGTTAGAGATGAACCTGGCGGCCCTAATCGAGGAGCTTCTAGACTGACCTGGAGGAACGCGCTGTGATTGGCTGAGGAGTTTTTCGCCCGGGCGTTGGACTTGACCACTCTGACTCCGGGGACGTTCAGCACCTCGTCCTCGCTGTCGTCGTCCTGCTCCAGGGAGAAGGAGCGCAGGCCGTCTGTGTTCACGTGCTTTGTCGTGATGTGGCCGTTGCCGTGGTGATTCCCTCGCCCCCGGTGTGAAGCGAAGGTGGGCGTGGCTTCCAGGTCCTCCATGAGCCACTCCATCTCCTCCTCGCCGCCGTCGTCGTCCATGTTCACCTGAGGGAACAGACAAAGAGTTGTTATGAGTGCGTTATCTTTTGAACCATATCAAACGTAGGACTGAGACAAACAAAAACCAGACCCAACCCAGAACCAAACAGGACTAGTTAAGATTTAGGCTCCTCCAATATCGAAGTATTTAAATCGGCCCCTATCAAACTTTGAGTGGGACAAAAAAATAATAAATCTAGTGCTTCTTAGTTAGAAGGTTCTGAGTTTGATTCCACTTCCCTTTCTGTGTGTAGTTCGAATGTTCTCCCAGTGTCCGCATTGGTTTTGTACAGGTTCTCCGTGTGTCCCCTAACATTAAAAACATGTACAATAGTCCCCCATAACACCCTCTCTGACCCAACTCCCGCCCTCTGTCCCTCCCTCTCTCGCTCTCTGGGAGACGGTAGAGACTGGAAAACTCAGTGGGACTTTCCTGGTTAATGTAAGCTAAATAAAATAAATAAATAAATACATGTCTAGGATACCACAGGGTTCTGGAACATCTGATGAAAGCACTCTTTTTATGAAGTGGCTTTGCCCCATAAAAGCCCCCACTGAAAGATCAAGGCTATGCTCACACTCAAGAGAGCAGCCGTCCTCCTGTGGACTCACCACCTGCAGAGGGTCAGTGAGGGGCTGGTGCTATGAGACTTGGGTGGCATCTCTGACTGCCACCCCCCTGACCCAGAAATGGATTAAAGGGTAAAAAATGGATGGATGGATGGATGGCTTTGCCCCATAGTTGGTGGAACAGGCAGCCCACAAGTAACCTCCAAAAGTATGTTCCAATTCTACCTTGTGTTAAAACTAGGGGTATAATGATGATATTTCAAGCAGGTCCAACCTCGGGCCTGCGGGCAAACTGCAGCCCTCTGTGTCCTTATATGTGGCCCTATGCCTCTAACACAACGATGTCTCTGAGATCAGAAACACAAGTTCACAGCCATTTAATTTATATGTACTGACATGTGTTTTTGGTTGTGTCACAGAATTCTGAACAAGGGCGAAGGTTTGCGTGGGGACCATGGGGACATGTCCCCACCAATATTTGGTGAGGACTAAAAAGTCCCCACCAAAATGACATGATGTCCCGTGACCCGGACGGTCCGGGACACATGTCTTCCGTTTGTGCACACGTCGCGCCTCCTCTTCGCCTCCAGAGCAACAGCAGCAGCAGCAGCATGTGACCCGTTCCGTTCTCTGCAGTGATTGGCTGTCTTCTTCAGCGCCAAACTGAAGCACTGAGCAACTGTTTAATTTTTAAAAGTTAGCCAGTGTGAAGCAAGTGTTTTTTTTTGTTCCCTGAGCGTTGTAGCACGTGAGCAATCAGAGGAAAGTACTGTAGATCTATTACCATTCAAAGTACTTACGTTATTTCTAATCTGTCAGCGCACTGTTTAATGTTCCGAGGAGCTCACACGGCACAGAGACAGAACAGAACTGGCTCCAATAAAGAAACAGGTTGGTTGAAAGGCTGAAAAAATACTTATTGTGCTCTTACTATCCAAAATGTATAAGTGGGTGTGTTGTGTGAATCAGGATAAACTAGGGATGAAAATATTCCACGGATCCACGATTTACAACCTTTATCTGCTGATAATGTGATTTCTGTGAAATGTGTGACAGTGGGCACTTATTGTTATTTGCTCTAAGCACATTCATGCGATGCACTCGAATGTGCACGTCCTGGTGCAGCTGCTGCCGCTTTGTAATGACAGCCGCGGCGCTCAGTGAAAGCACAGCTCTAACATGGTACCGAGCTCGGACCATATGCAGACAGAACCATGTTGCAAGTGCGGGTCTCCCTCGTATCTCCCCCGTTTCTCCCCTGTGTCTCTGACATGTCTCTCCCCTGACTCTTCCCAAAGCGCAACCAGCGCTCCCAAAATTAAAGCTCGGATACCTAAATTTTCCATTGCGTTAACGATGCATGCTGGTTGTGCGCAAAACACACCACAACAGGTCATTTAAGTTTTTATTTTGCATACTTGAGAGCCCTGTGAGTCATTACTTGTCTTTTTGGGTTGAGAGTGGAATAAAAAAAAGAAAATATAGAAAAATCCACACTGTTACTTATTGCCAAACTCTTGTTAACTCATTGTATTGAGAAATACTATGTAACTTTTGACATTGGCCAAGTTATATAAATGATTCTGCAGTTCATGTATATGAATGTCTGTTTTTGATTGTCTATACCTTCTTATATAATTTAGAAAAAATGCCACCTCCACAAAAAAAGATAAAAGATATCAGGAGCTTTTTTAACAGTTGGAAAGTAAGTAAGAGAAAGCACAAGTAATAGCAAATTATGAATTGTGATGATTAATCTTCTGTTAACATACATAGGAAACTCAACCAACAAGAGAGAACAATATAGGGAATGTTGAGGTAGAAGCAACAGGCCCTTCAGTGCAACAGGCCCTTCAGTGCAACAGGCGAGGTTGGAATTTTGTAGGTATGCATGGGACTATGAATTGTTTTTAGAGATTGATCGTATATGTCAAACAATGTAGTGAGCTACTCACTGTAGATTCTAATTCAATATTTTCTCCTCTGTTTTTATTTATTATAGGAAATTGAAAGATCAGAGCATGATTTATTTCAAGTATCGAGAGCAGTTCCTGAACTGTTAGAGCCTCAGGTGAGGGCTATTATGTAGATTTGGATTAGGTTTAAGTCAGTATAGAATGAACGCAACACAAAACTCAGAAGCTCTGATCCAATTGATTTTGTTTTAACTATTAGAAAAAATCCTTAACTGCTTCTCATTCAGTCTACAGCTGAGTTTAGTATAGAAGGCAACACACTATTGCAAATATAGTGTGTGATTACACAACAAATTCTGTGGGAGAAACTCTGGACCCCGTGTCAATGGGTGTAGACTCAGGTCGTAGTGAATGTCCCCACCAAGATTGGAACCAAACCTACACCTCTGATTCTGAATATGGCAATAATGTAGCTGATGGTAACAGTCATTCAGCCAAATTCGGCTCCAATATGGACATGATATATACTCCATTTTAAAATACAGACCAGGTTAAATCAATTTAAAACAGCTTTAAAAAGCTGGACAAGTCTGCTAAACGAAAAAAGCCTTCTTGCTATCAAGTTTGACCCAATTACTCGCCGTACTTTTCCCATATGATTCACAATATCACGTATGACAATGCAAAGTTCAAATTCAGTTTTTTTGCGTTAGTAACATGATACTTTTACTGAAACCTACTTTTGAGTATTTATACGATACTGGGTTGCCTCTTCTGCAGCAACTAGCCACCTTCTGGATCACCAGCTCTCTGTCGGGAGGGAACACACAGTATGAAAGCCAGAAATTCAAGTCATAAATGTCTTTTTGGGTCGAGTTTCACCTCCTCTCTCTCTTGTAGAGGACCAGCGCCAGCAGGCAGACGGTCAGCCCGATCAGCATCAGGATCAGCATGATGGCAACAGCCCGACTACGCCCAGAGACAGACTCTGTGGTGCCGCCGTCAAACGTTTGTGCATCCATGGTCCTAGAGGGAAAAAGCAAACAAACGAAACAAAAACAGAACAATGCAACAGTTAGTGCTTGTGCTTCACAGTAACATGGTCCAGGTTTGATTCGCGGCTAAAGGGGCTCTTCTGTGCGTAGTCTGCATTCCTCTGAGTGTTTCCTACCACTACAACGGTTGTGCGACTGCACATAGAGTGAAGAGAAGAAGGGTGATGGTCAGAGGGTCCAGTGCACCAGGGTTTCTGTGTCTCCCTTCTATCTTTGTGGAGTGAATGGATATTGCATCAAAATTGTAAAACGCTTGGTCTCACCTTAGTCAAAGAAATGTGCTTCATAACTAAAGATGAAAGCATTCTATATTATAAGTACAACTTTTAGCCACTGTAAATACGAGTCCACAACCCATCCATCCGTCCATTTTCTTGCTTCATCCGTTGCCAGGTCGAGGGGGCAGCAGTCTAAGCAAAGACACCTGGACCTTCCTATCCACACACACCTCCACCAGCTCATTGTCTAGAGTCTGCAACCCTCTTCTGCCAATTGATTGAGCTTTATACTTCAGCTAAATTATTTCTAAATAATATTTTGAACAGCCATTCAAACTGTTTAAAGTGTTTCCTATAATCACACTGTTCATAAATTCTACCCAGATATTATCTTATGATATAACTACAGGTTTTCTTCTCTACAAAACTATATGTAAGGTGAACATGATATTATACTTGCGTTATCCAAACATTTTACAGTATGGTATCTTAAAAGCAGCACTCACGTCAGACCACAGATGGCATCCGTGTGCCACATGAACAGATACTGGCAGTCGCCGGTCTCCAGCTTGAACTCGGGTTTTCCCATCCCTGCAGTCGGGTTGCATTGGAACATGATGATGGATGAAACCTTTTTATTTTCTCTTTTTCCACAAGTAGAATTAGAAAGCACCTCCACATCCAAGTTCCCTCCTGAGACACGAGAGTAAAGAGTGAAGCATGACGTCAGAATCAGAATGATTATATTGTGAGTATCAGGAAGTCACAAAGGAGAAAAATTGCTTTGGCTCTCGGTGCAAACAAGTTAACTTAAAATGAATACGACACTGCAAAAAATGATATGAGGTCATCATTTCTTGAATCAAGTGTTTTTTACCTTAATTTGAGTCTTAAATCAAGATTTACCAATGAGACAAAGTCATTTAGTCAAATTTTAAGAACTGTTGCTTTATTTTCTCATTTCAAGGGAGACATTTCTTGCATCTTTTTTTTTAAAACAGTATACTTTTGCTTTTCCCATTGTCAAATCTTGTTTTAAGGCAATCAAAACCTGCTCAAGTGAGGATACATTAAACCAAATTTAATCAACTTTTCACATATTTTTTCATCACTTTTTGCAGTGTATATACCAGTACATACAATAGACGTTTGCCGGGCCCTTTAGTCAGCAGAAGGAGAGCATACGTACCTTTGACATAGTATTTGGCTTGGGTAGAAGTGCCGATCTTTCTCCTGAAGGCTGCGTTGAGCTTGACCTGGCAGATGTTGGCTCCGAGACAGCTCTGCAGGGAACTGTTGGTGATGCCGGACAGCTGGATGTGGTAAATGTAGCGATCGCCATTTGTCCGGATGTCTCCTAAAGCTTGGTGGGGACTGAGCACAGGTCACACATATTACACACCACATAAAACACAATCACAAAAAAGGTATAATAAAACTAGCAGTGATACCTGAAGTATAACGCCCCCAGACTGAGACGCACGGCTGTCTCAGGAACATGGATTGTCCCGTTCTCCATTTTCACCTCCTGCTGCTTTACTGCACAAGCTGAACGGGTTTCCCAACCGATCACAAACTCACAATTCGCCCGATCAAACCTGCAGGAGGACAAATTCTGACTAGAACCAGGAAGTACGATCACAGTAAGTCCTGGTCTCAGGTCTCTGCACTGGCTTCCTGTGGCTCAGAGAATAGTCTCACCATGGCCTCACACCAAAGTACATCTGTGACATGTTGGTGCCATATGAACTAACTCTGAGGAGCACAGGGACTGGCCTGAATACAAGATTTATTCAGCAAAAAAATATAACAGACAGACTTCTACTCTGACAAAGTTCATATCCAGAATATAACAGTTCAGTTTTAGATGTGCATACAACTGAAGGACTATATTGTCACTGCGATTGTTTGTGATTCTAATGCCTTATATGAGTTTAATGTTTTTCTTGTTTTGTTAAGTACTTGAATTGCCTTGTGCATGAACCGTTCTATACATAAAAAATTGCCTTGCCATAAAAATGATAGTATTGTGTAAAAGAGGTGAAAAATACGATCGTATTATTAGACTTTTTTAGACTTATATATTTTGGAAATCCTCTGAAACGGTCAAATGTTTGTAGAAATGATTTAATCCATCAATTTCCCAATAGAGACAAGAAGGCACCTTAACCTCAATCTGTCTGAAGCAGTGACGTTTTTTACCGCTCTTATTATTGACTAATGTATTCATGAATGTCAATAACTAACTGAAACTACGTCAACTCACGGATGGCTCAGAGACACTTTAACTTTATGCCTCTGAACATTTACTGGTACAACATGTACCAGTAAATGAGATAGAGGTGGACCCTGTAAAAGTGATCAAAGTTTGAATCATACCGTGTTAATGTGGGGTGTCCCACAGTGAGACCACAGGTCAGCTCAATCACAGTCCTTGCCTTCAATCCATTTCCACAGACATCGTCGCCTGCCGCATAGCTGACCGATATTTTACTCTGCTTCTCTGTGAACATAATGCACCATAACCATGCCTGTGATAAATATACAATGTAAGATTTACAGTTGTGTTTGAAAGTTTACACGCCAAGATTTAGATTTCATTGTTATGTCCATATTTTGGAGATTAAGAACAATAACACAAACACTTGGTGGTTGAGTGAAGCCATTTGAAATAATAAATGTGTATTTGTATTTAAATTGAATACATAATTGAGCTGATATGTGGAGGGCTCAGTGGGGAGGGTCATGCAAGCCAGATCAAGAAATGGGAGGCTTTTTGCCAAGAAGAAAGGCGAGGATTAAGAAGTACAGTGGTCTCTCGTTTAAAATAGGTGAAAGCAGGACTGAGGGCTACGGGAAGACGACGGTAGTCCTCTGAACTAATCACAGCGGTGCACAAAAGGCACAAACGTTTTCTTCTGACTTAAAAGTTAAAGTCATGTTATACTAGTAGTCATATGATGTTTTTTATGATGCTGTTGGATTAGACACGCATCATATGAGAAGCACGCAGTATAAAAAAAGCATGCAAAATTGCACACACAAAGATTTGCAAAACAGTGAGGCCACACAAAATGAAACTTATTATAGCGAGGGACCACTGTACAGACCATTAAGGACTGGGGGATGTAAACTTATAACCATGGACAGAAGAGGAGATTCTGTTGTCATTACAATTTTAAAACAGATAACGCAATTTCAAATAATCACTAACAATGATGGTCATAATACCTGTCTGGGGGTGCCAACTTTCAAGCACAAATGTATATAGTGTTGTACCTGTGTAGTTCATTTTTTGTGTATCGACCCGTCCTAAAGCCTGTGTGACCCCTGAGGCCAAGTGGCGACAGACCGAGGTTCCCTTAGGACATCCCAGTACTCCCCCATGGATCTCCTGACAGAGGTTGAGGTAATACCTGGAATAACAAATACATTTATATTGCAGATCTGTGAGCTCCTTCTCAGAAATGAAGAATGATACCATGAAAATAAAGACACAGATTCAGGGCAACTTACGAATCTCCCTTATAGGTGAACTTCCACGGCTCTGTGAGAGAGGACAGACTGTTGAACTCAAAGGTCTGGTGGCTGCTGACCAGGCTACACTCCAATTTCTTTGGAGGACAAACCAAACCAGTGCGCCACTTAAAAGAAGCAGCACAGTCGGTTTCTTTGCGGATGAGCTGAGGCAAGCCCTGACCGGCCGAGGGGTCACAGACAAACTGTATAGATGACTGGTACTTGCCGGTCCCTAAACGAGAGATTGAGTAACATTGTAAAAATCAATAACTTTAAGAAGGAAAATTTGAAAAAAAATACCAGGCTTCAGCTGTGCCAGAGACAAGGTCCGCCTTTTTCACGAAATGAGTCAATAAGCTAAAGATTGTGCGGTGGACAGCTTCTAACTTACATACTTGAAAAGGTACAAAAGGTAGTATTTATTTTGTCCCAATTCTAATGGTAGGCTATGTTAGCATCCTAAAATATGTATAAACTTAAAATCTAGTTTGCATTCAAAATTGTACATGCAAAAATAACAACTGTATTTCTCCATATTCTCCGCCATCTAGTGCATTATGGGTGAAATGTTTGAACTTTTTCTTCATTTCTTAAGATCAAACTTTTGATTATGTCGTGGCTTTCTAGACACAGAATTCTCCTTTGTTTATTTAACATAATCACAGATATCAAATACATTACATTTTTTGTGCATGTCTTTGTGACTTTTCTAAAATAAAAAAGGACTCCCTGACTAGGATGGCTGGAAATACAGGAAGTTTAATTTTCAAATAGTAGCAAAAACTCTGATCCTGTCAAAGACATAACTTGAGGACTTAGAAGTGATGTACACAAAGGCCGAGGGGGTGGGGAATAGCACAGACAATGACTATGAGAACTTTGGAAATGGTTCTGACCTTGTGGGCAGCTATCTCCTCCTGCATACTGTGCGAGTATGGCTTGCTCCTCATGTTCGAAGTCCATAGTCATTGCTTTGCTGAGGCCAAAGGACAAAGCGGTTTTGGTGGAGCCTGAGCCAGTGACCGCACACACAGAACTCGTCCTGCAGGCCTCGTCTTTCACCGATCCACAGGGGTTGATGTAGTATGTGGTGGAGCCATTGGATACCTGCAGCAGTGAGAAGAGAATCAATAGCTGCCATCCTTTCCTTTTCCAAAACACATCATTGGGTTTTATTATTAGAGTTTTTCCTCGTCGACGCAGGAGGGTCAAAGAACAGTGGTGATGATCCAAGACACTAGACATTCAACAACATTCATGGACATTGGTCATCTGTCTCTTATGGACCAATGACTATATTTTTTATCATTTCTTGTGTTGGAAAGGTTTGATTCTCTGATCTGTAATGGCAAATATCAACGGTTTTGTAAAGTCCTCCGCGATAACTACTGTTGTAATTTAGGGCTGAGTGTTTGGGCCTGTGGCTTTTATTTGGTATCTTGTTTACAGTTTATTTTGTTTTATTTTGCATAATGTTTGAAATCAATTCTTACTATACTTTACTAGGGCTATACAAGAATACCTTCAATTGAAAGTGAATTGAATCATTGGGAAATGAGTAGACGTACCTGGACCTCCTGTGAGAATGCAGACAGATCAAAGGTAAACTGGAGCTGAGTGTCTGTGAGTCGGCAGCCGCTGGTGTTTGTGCTGTCGGAACAAACTAGAGGCGTCATCCATTCAAACAGATACACGCAGTCCTGTAGCTTCAGCATCTGTGGCGAGCCCTGTTAACGGAGGCAAAAGTGTGTCAAATAGATGGATATTAACCAACAGTTATGAATGTACGACATGAGAGAAAGCTGACCAGCTTCAGGCCTCTCTGGCAGGTGAAGATGATTTTGGAGGTGTAGTTCATGGAAGGATTGGATGCACACTGGGTCCCACTGGTGTAAGTGATGAGGATCTCATTTGTGGCCTCGTTGTACTGAGGGCCACTAGTTTCCTGACCAATGTCCTGCAAAAAGAAAGTGTGAGTTAAGATCAAGAGCAAATTTATTTAGTGCTGTCAATTAATAATTTCTGTAGTTGAGGAATTGACAACTTAAGTCCTCTAAGACGCCAGTGTTGTGATTGGTTGTACCATAATGAATAGTTGAATAGGGGTGCTTTAGGCATATTGCATTTTTAATACCCCCCATGTCATCTACTGTAGAGTTTGGTGACATTTTTTCTCAAATTAAATTATTGAAAACGCAGTCGTGGAGCAGGAGAGTGAAGAAAGTGCTTTGCACACTTCTAACGTGAAACAGCACAGACACAGAGCTCAAAGCCGACCAACCAGGACATGTTTGTGGGGAAGCAAAAAAAGAGCATATTCATGAAATATGAATTTTTTGTATATTCTAAAACTCACTATCGGTGGTCCATTGTCAGGGTCCATACAGACTGCAGCTCCAGTCGGACAGGAAACCTTTGGGATGGGGTTCAGAGGTCGACAGATGTTTATGTAGAAATCTGGGGACGAGTCGCTTTGTTCAATGGAATCATCTGAAATGAAAAGCCAACAATGATGTCAAAAGAGAAAGATATAGAGGAGACACAAATGTTTTCAAGTTTACAAGACATTAAACACTAAGCTTAATAACATATAACATTATTGACTGGCCCTGACTCATGGACTGCACAGGGGGGTCCAGTCCCCACCTATGAACCTCTTCAGTCCTTGATCTACAGCCTGAGTCCTGGATCTACTGCCCGAGTCCTGGATCTACTGCCCGAGTCCTGGATCTACTGCCCGAGTCCTGGATCTACTGCCCGAGTCCTGGATCTACTGCCCGAGTCCTGGATCTACTGCCCGAGTCCTGGATCTACTGCCCGAGTCCTGGATCTACTGCCCGAGTCCTGGATCTACTGCCCGAGTCCTGGATCTACTGCCCGAGTCCTGGATCTACTGCCCGAGTCCTGGATCTACTGCCCGAGTCCTGGATCTACTGCCCGAGTCCTGGATCTACAGCCCGAGTCCTGGATCTACTGCCCGAGTCCTGGATCTACTGCCCGAGTCCTGGATCTACTGCCCGAGTCCTGGATCTACTGCCCGAGTCCTGGATCTACTGCCCGAGTCCTGGATCTACTGCCCGAGTCCTGGATCTACTGCCCGAGTCCTGGATCTACAGCCCGAGTCCTGGATCTACAGCCCGAGTCCTGGATCTACAGCCCGAGTCCTGGATCTACAGCCCGAGTCCTGGATCTACAGCCCGAGTCCTGGATCTACAGCCCGAGTCCTGGATCTACAGCCCGAGTCCTGGATCTACAGCCCGAGTCCTGGATCTACAGCCCGAGTCCTGGATCTACAGCCCGAGTCCTGGATCTACAGCCCGAGTCCTGGATCTACAGCCCGAGTCCTGGATTTGTAACACCCTCCGAGACAGACTGCTTTAGTTATTTAGGGCCAAACACATATAAAATAAATAGTATTGAATTGACGGGACCTGTTGCAGTGTAATAACCATTCCAGTGGATCAGAGGCGTGAGGTCAATGAGAGACGGGCCGTTCTGTACTTCACAGGACACCTAAAGAAACAAAGAAAGAAAGAAAACATTGAATATTTGATTTCACTGATTAATGCAAACAAAGTTCAAGCGGGAGGCCTCACCAGGTGCTCACAGACGAGGGGGGTGTGGAAGGAGAAGTAGTGGGTGCAGGTGTCTGCGTGGGACTCGATCAAAGCTATTTCTGGAACAGCCTTGCTGAGTGAAGGCCTGACAGACATAGAAAACAAAATCCATAAAATAAACAAACAACATAAACATGGATAAATAGTTTGTGGGTAAAATGAGACACAGACTTGCAGATAAACTGGATGATAGTGCTGTGTTTTAGGGCACTGTTGGCTGAGCAAGTATCCCCTCCTTCATATTTCAGCTCTAAAATCCCATTCTTATACAAGAGTTTCTTGCTGAGCTCGCCACCGCTCACACTACTGCTGCCATCTTTAATGCAAACAGCTGAAAGACAAAGCAAAAAAACACAATGCATATATAGCTTGAATGTGCATTGTAGTACAGAAGTAGTTAATAATACGTAGAACTAACCAACAAGTTTGTCCTGTGCTTTACATGTGACGCAAAAGTTCTAATGAGTAACTTATTTTTTTAGTTTTGTGACAGTGAGACATTCCACCATGTTCAGACGAATAAATTCATAACAGCTTCTTGGATTTATGGCTTACTGGAAATAAGCAATAGGGGGTGGGACTAAGACTTATTCCCACTCGCTTTAAGGCAGAATTTGGGGTTTTAATACTTAATTATTATGCAAAATTTAGAGATGTTGTACTTAATTTTTGCATTCTTCATTATGCTTATTTGCAAAGGCTAGAGATTGTATACTGATTTTTATGCTGAAGCGAGAGTTTATACTAGTTAGCATAGTTATTGTTCATTTATCTTGTGATCCTCATTCCTACTGTTCTGTAACTTGTGATGCAACACTGACATTTCCCCACTGTGGGACAAATAAAGCATCTTTTAATCTCTCTTTTGTTTACATGCGGTAAATACTGTACATTCACTTTTTGTCTTTATCTTTATCCTTTTGCACTATATGACTTGGCTGTATTTGTCTACCTTGTATTTATCTGTGCCACTGCCTGAAATAAATGAAAATAAATTAAAAGCAGGACTATTCTGGATTATTAAGCATGTATAAACATATAGGCCACACTTGAATATGAGCTGAAAATGGTTTAAACTGGACACAACATGATTTAATACCACTGTAGATTTGTGATAATCAAAGCAATCCAATATATTTTGACAATAAACATGCTTCTCATATCTACTATACGTTTGTGGAGTCAAAATAATGTAACAAGATTTGCAAAAATATACCATAATACTATAAATATACCATGGGAATGCTCTAAAAATCTAAAAGTACATATATTTGTTGCATTACTATATAGGCAGCAAGGTACAACAAATTTGAGAAAAGTAGCAGCCGATAGTCCACAAAGTACTTCACTCCCATTTCAATGTATTCATTTTGATCGTCACAAAAAAAACAAAAAACAAATCAAATCAAATTGATTCATATAGCACATAAACAAGACACGACATTGCCAAAGGCAAGAAAACAAAAACAGTAAAGCGGTACTAATTCACTCAACCTGGAAATAAATGAGAATAAATACATTAATTGAGATTAAAAACAATAAAAATGTGTGTCTCTGTTCTTTTTTCATTTTTGTTATATAGTATGTACTTTACTCACAGGTTGCTATAATCCAAATGGAAGTAAGTCTTAATTTTGTGTTTGTGTTCTCTCTCATACCTGATCCTTGTTTACACCCAGAGCTGGCAATCTCTCCGCACACGTTGACTTGAAATGATTTACTGTGATCTTCTGAATCACGCACCGTGTATCCTCCAGCTTTTGTCAATGAATTCAGGTCAAACAGATAACCTTCAAAAGAAAAATGTACGTCAATATCAGAATTATTTCCCAAAGTTACAAAGACATTGGTTTGGTTTTATTTGAAGGCTGTGTCTGACCTGTGGAGGGGTTGGTGACCTTACAACCGTCCTCCTGTGTTGTGTCCAAAGGGCAGGCAGCAGCGGTGAGCCAGTGGAAGGTGTACTCACAATCCTCGATGACAGAGATGAGAGACGGCAGAGAGTCCTAAGGCACAAAGCACATTAGTTAAAGCTGGGGTTCCTCAAAGTTTAAATTAATGAATAGTACATTCAATTCAAAGTTAGTCTGGTAAAGGTCAAGAAATGTAAACAAATCAGACAATAACTTTCTGTCGTCATCTTCTTACAAAACTATTTTTAATACTTAAAGCACATATGTAGCTTTGATTTTCTACTAAAACACACATAAATTAATAACATTAAATATTTTGTTTTGTGATATAATCTAGAATTTGACAGAAAAAATAGTGTAGTCTTCATCAAAGGCTGTAAGTAGTTGCCATCTAGTGGTCAGTTACAGATTCAGATTCAGTTTATTTGCCATTTGCAGTAAGAAAAAACCACATTGGAATACATTAGCAAAAGTCACCAGTGTGCACAGACAAATACAGACATAAAACAACATTAAAAGACAAAAATAAAACAAATAAAACAGTAAACAAATGTCACTGTGAAATCGATCGACTAAAACAGTTTCAAAACAAGTGCAAATAGATTGTGCGCACCAGAGCGTTCACTGCGGCGCCCTGACACGGCGCCATTTTGCTAGTCCTCATGCTCTCTTGACAGGTTACACTATTGGTCAAAGTGACCAAAAAAGACCTTTTTGTTTTAGATTTTCCTCTCAAAAGATATTTACGTGCACTTCTTGACTCATGCACCTTCTGCATGAATGGTACTTTATTAATAAATTTGCCTTGAAAAATGTTCAAAAACTTCTCATTACAAAGCAAACATGAAGCAGTCCTTCCTCATTGGCTGAAAGCCAACGTTTCAGTCCTTTCTTCCTTGAATTCTTTGTTCATAATGACTCTTTCTCTTTTTAGCTTTGGGATCCATGCACACACGGCGGTTTTGTTTACTGCCTGGCGCAAGCTATGACGCAAATTTACATTGACAGAAATTTTTAAATTTCATATTTCTTATGCACATTTTCACAGCATTGAAACACGTTAAGAATGTTTTTCCTCCTACATTAAAACGGTAAATAAAATATACCTCTCCCACCATATTCAGACATATTTGAGGAGGAGGCTCGAGGAGCCACTTGAGGTGCACTGAAGAGCTGCACGTTGCCGATCCCCAGTTTAGGAGAAAACTCACCACTCTGTCCTTGTCACACTGCAGGTTGATTGTGGAGGAGCGGTGGCGATGTCCGTCAGGGCAGATCTGGCCGTTGGTGTAGCGCAGCTTCAGAATATTTTTTTCCATAGTGGGAGGGGACGACACCTGCCCCAAATTCACATACTGGTCTCCACTCCTCATGCAAGAGGCAGCAGAAGATGGGCACTTCCACAAGGCTGGAGTGGGATGAAAAGAGTGATCAACATTTCCATCATAGACCAAAGGAAAACTAAACAAGAGAAGTGACATCAACGATAGTATTTGTCTTACTGTGGAGAAAGCTCATTGGAGCTAACGCAAACAGAATATAGTTGGAATGTGGAATCAAATACAGGCAAATAATCATCAAGACTATAAGAACAAACTAAATTATTAATGACACATCAATCTGACATTATTCGGGCGTAAAGCAAAACAAAATCCAGATAAGTTTCCGTGTCTATATACAGTCTACCATATCATCTACAAATGCAGAACACAGGAAAACTCAAGGACCAAGTTGAGGGTGTTGTTCTGCCACAGTAAGGTTGTACCATGTGTACTGACCTCCCTGCTTCACCAGAGATCTGCAGACATTGATGTAAAATCTCTCAGTGCCCCCCGTTCGGTGCGCAGCCTCCCAGTTCTCAGTGGTCATCGCCAAAGAAGAGAGGTCATAGGAGTGGCCCTGTCCATCGCTGAAAACATGACACACGTATTAAGTTGCAAACAAAGTATTTAACTAGCTAGTATACTATCATAGTGTAATGTAATAAGTGTTTATACTAGCAATAGCAGCTTTGTACAATAGTATATATGCATCTGTGTTGTAAATATTATCCAATTCTTGCGCAATTGCACAACTTTTTAATTTTATTATACAGTCTTTTTTTATACAAGATATATTATTTTCCACTTTTAACATGTTACACATTTCCTGTATTTTGTACAACCTGAGTGATACAATTTATGCCAATTATGCCAATTTCATGTACATTTCTCCATTATGAGATTGTATCTTATCTTACTAGTTAGATGCGAAACGGCTTTTGTTGCTTTGTTCTGACGGTAATGACAATAAAGTTTAATCTAATCTGATCTATATCATTGTTAGTATAAGTGTGAAATATGGATGTTGAGCTATGAGGGAACGATGAAGGCGTATAATAAAGGATGAGAGTTACTTGTAGGAGCAGCTGGTGGTCTTGACAGGGATGCAGGCCAGCGCAGTCGGCCAGTTGAACATGTAGGTGCAATCCGGAGTCTCATTTATAAACTGTGGCGTTCCCTGAAAACACATTTGTTCATTTTAAAACCCAAGCAGAATATTGGTAGAACTTTTCTGTGGATTCTTCATTGATTGTGTTTCTTACTGGATCTTTGCTTGGATCACAGGAGAAGTAAACCTTGGTGGTCCTTCGATAGATTTTATGACATGTCTCTCCGTTGGTGTAGTTCAATATGATTTGATCGTCAACATAGGTCAAAACTTGGCTTTCCAATCCTAAATTGACACAGAAAGTATGTAAGGTATTTTCAATTCTTACAATTTATTCATTTTTATAACAAAAATTAATTACTCTACCAGCAATTTTATGGTTGGGTCCGTCGACTTGACAAGAGGAGACGGCGTCACCGTTGGGGTTGTGGGCACAGACTTCTTTTTGAATCCCTCCACAGATGGACAGAAAATATGTGTATTTGCCATTTACCATGGAGTAGTCTCTGCCCATCAGCGAGCTCAGGTTGAACTCATAACCACTTTTAGGGTCCAGGACACGGCAGTCTTCGCCTGATCACAAGTGTTTGGTTGATCATTAAAGAATTACTTTAAATCCTATATTCCGTAAAATAACAGAAATAAACTGGATAAAAATAAACAGAAATACACACTCCCCGTTTCCAATCATAAAAACAGTTACTCAAGCATTTATTTGACTTTTGAGTTTATTTGAATTTGGACTGAAAACACAGTACTCACCCTGCACCTTCCGGATGGGGCAGGCCTCTGCGGTTCTCCAAACAAAGACATATTCACAGCCATCAGTGCGGTCGAACATGGGGGAGTCCTGCGGACACAACACACCATAAGCTGCATGAATGATACAGCACCAAAAACTATTCATTTTGCTCTATCTTCATTTTATTGTATAATTTATTTTATTGTAATTTTGTCAAATGCACAAGGCACTCCCTATAAAAAGGACCCTATAAGAAGGATGTTTGTGTCGGAGTAGAACCACTACTTCTTCACATCGAGAGCAGCCAGTTGAGGATGGCTCAGGAATCTTTTTCTCCACGCCTAAGGATTACCCCGGATGAGTTGGAGAAAGTGTGTGTGCAAAGGGAAGTCTGGACGTCTCTACTTAGACTGGTGCCCTGTGACACGGCAATAGATAAAGTGGGAGAAAATAAAGGTCTATCTATCTAAAATGGCTGGATGGAGGTTTGTGTGGACTACCCATCCATGTGTAAAAAATTCAGATATGAATATAACAGATTAAAGGTGCAGTAAGCGATTTTATTAGCTTAGCCATAGCACCAACTGGAAACCACTCCCCCCTCCCCTCGCCTTTCCACCAAACCAAACATCCAGCATTTTCTTTTCTTTGTCACAACAAGGAGAGTGGGTGGCAAATGTGAAATTGGAATTTTCTGTTCAGCCCTTTTAGGTTTTAGAAAATCCGATAACTCAGGTGTGTGCACTCGCAAGAAACAGGAAGAGGGTGAAGGGGGTAAAAGCATCCCATTGGTTCGTTGGGGATGAACGAATCTCATTAGTTTCTTTTTATCGGTGCGCTCCAAAATAATTTGTATTAATTTTTGGAGACTATAGGCATCTGGTTAATTCCATTACTATTTGAAAACACATGATAACTTGAGTACTTTTAGTGTTAAGGGACGTTTTCCTAGGCTGGCTCTCGCCAGGCGTTTCGCTTAATGCACAAGGGTCTGGGATCAAGTGCATACCAAACTCCTTCAGCAGATCAGAAAATAACAGAATTTTTTTTACAAGGCCCCGCCTTCTGAAATCTAACCGCTATGGCTCAGACCCAGACCCAGAAGCGCAGCAATCAACAAGGGTCTGGCGAGAGTCAGTGGGAAAAAAATCACTCACTGCATCTTTAATACAGTAGAGAAAATGTATCAAATTATGATAATAATATTTAACTTTAATTTCACATATTCTGTTGATTTTCTCTTTTTAAACACTATTTTGCACACTGCACTCACTGGACGGTCGTCACATTGGAAGATGATGCGTGTGGAATACTGCGAGGCCTCTCCGCACTTGTCTCCGTTCTGGTACACAATGCTGATGGAGCCGTCCTCTGCCACTTGTGGAACAGACTGGATGTACCCCAGGTTGTGGCTCACCCCGTCCATCACAGCACAGGCTCCCAAAGGACCCACTGCAAATACACACTCTGGTAATGTGGCGAATGCAGAGGTCATTACAGTGGGGCAAAAAAGTACTACTTTTTTAGTAGTACTATAGTACTTTAGTAGCCTCGTACTAAAAGAGATGAGAGACGCCTGTAATTTTCACCCAAAAATCACATTAAAAATGTGCAGATTATGGTGTAAAATATGTATTTGGTCAATAACAAAAGTCCATCTCAATACTTGTCTTTGCCAAAAGGGTATGTAACAAAGAATTGAGATGAACTTTTGTTATTGAATGCATAATTATTTTCCAACATAATTTGCAAATAGGTTCTTTAAAAATTAGACAATGACAGTGATTTTCTGATTTTTTTCTCATTTGGTCTCTATCCATCTTATAGTTGAGGTATACCTATGATGGAAATTCCAGGCATCTATCATCTTTTTAGGTGGGAGAACATGGACGGCTAGAGGCCAACTAAATACTTTTTTTTGCCCCAGTGATCAGGGATGGTGGCCTATCACATTTTGTGTGAGAATCAACATTTAAAAATAAGTAGGTGGAACTGGATCAGTAAGTGGTGTTCCTGTTGCAATATTATGGTGTATGTTAATTGTCTCTGTGATTGTAATCCATAACTCACTGGGACAGTTTTTTATTGGAGGCAGTGGTTTGCAGACGCTTATGTAAAACGAGCGAGATTTTCCTCCTTCTGTGTCGATAGGAATCCAGGGACTGTCTTCCTTATCTCGAGCCAGGTGACTGAGGTCGTATTCATTTCCTTTAGAATCTGGCAGGAGACAAACAACACCAATAATATACTTAAACTGATAAAATATGAGGTAATAATTGTCTTTTAAAGCCATTTAGTCTTATTTCAAGAACTGTTGCATATTTTTCCTCATTCCAAGGGCGACATCTTTTTAAAACAAGATAATTTAGCTTGCTCCAAATTTGAGCAATTTTAGATTATTTATATTTCATCACTTTTTGCAGTGTAGACTAAAGCTACAATTCATAAATATTTGCCATTCTCTCTTACCGCTAATCCGGCAGCTAACTGGAGCGGGGACACAGGCCAGGGCAGTGGAGAACTCGAACAGGACGTCGTGGACCACATGGTTGGCCGTGGTGCTCAAATCCTCATGAACCAGTTTCAAAAAGCCAGGGTGAGCACTTCGATTACATACAAAGTTAATGGCAAAGGTGTCCCGGGTGGCTGGAGAATACGGAAAAAATGTGTGAACTCAAAAGGCCGTTCAGTTTTCATCCAACTATAAAAAAAATGCACGACTATGGACCGACCTGTGTGCTCGTCTAGTTTCCCCTTGTACGTGAGAGATAGCAGACCATCACTGGAGTATTGTAAAGTCTTCTCAACTCCAACTGGACTCACAGGCTGGTCCTTTTCCAGCTCACATCCAGCCATACCCGCACCACACTGGGCCACGTCTGAGCAGATATTCACCTAAAAAAAAAAAAAAATTAACAAAGGAATAATGATTAAGACAAGTATAGATTGTTAATATAGTGTTATTCCCAGACCAGAATAACAATGTGCGTACATTTTAAAAACATTCAATAAAACAAAAGGTATACAAGTCAATTACAAAAAGCGGGTATGTACAGAAGCATGTATAATCTAAGACAGCACACATAAACCTATGTAAGAGAAGGCCAGAAAACCTGCCTAAACAAATCCGTCTAAAGTCAACTTTCCAACATGCGCAGAGACTGGGGAAGCTCAATCCAAAGGAGAGGACGCCTTGTATGATCTGTCTCCTCTGGTTGTAAAACATGTGCGTGGACCAGCTCAACAGGTTCTGTGGCGGACCTGAAGCTCCTGACCATGTCGAGCCCTGGATGTCAGAACTGGGATTTTAAAATTGATTTTATGCGTGACAGAAAGCCGGTGTTTCCTATTGGTCAGTCTCGCAGCAGACAAGCAAAATCTTTGTTACTAAGACATGTAAAGGCTATCGTAACATCCTGCTTAAACTTTGTAAATTTGATGAAGACGATTCTTGGGGGTACTTACAATGAAGTCCTTGCCATTTGCATTAGTTGTGTAACCAGTTTTAAACGCAAGAGGCTGGAGGTTGAACTCAAAGCCAGTGTTTGGGTCCAAAACAGAACAGCTCTAAAAAAAAAAGAGTTGGGGTTAGAATGGACAAATGACAATCTGTAAATGCAGAAAATGATAAAATATGAAGTAATAATTGCTTGAATCGACTGTTTTTATCTTAATTTGAGTACATTCTGTCTTAAAACAAGATTTGCCAATGGGGCCATTTAGTCTTATTGTTGCGTTATTTTCTCCTTCCAAGGGAGACATTTCTTGTATCTTTTTAAAACAAGATAATTTTGCTCGCCCCATTGGCAAAGTTTATTTGAAGGTAGTCAAAATGTGCTTCATTTAAGACACATTCTTGCCAAATTTGAGGAATTTTTGGCTTGTTTTTCCATCACCATTTGCAGTGTATGCTCCAAAACACATATCATTTCTTACATTAGAAGTAGTGGTTTTAATGGCACAGGCAGCTCTCGTTTCCCAGATAAACTTAGCGACGCAATTCTCAAAAATCATAAAGCGAGGTCCTTTTGCCTGCAGAGAAAAAAAAAAGTAAAGTATTTGTTGAACATCACTGACAAAGATTCTCTCTGGGACAGTGTGGCCCACTCACCACTGTGCCTTTGTAGCACACCAGGTGAATGTGCGTGGTGTGATTGAGTTTGACGCCGTCAGAAATGCACTCTGAGCCTTCAGTGAACTCCAGCAGAAGCCGGTCTGGAGCCTCGATGATGGGCCCTCGTTTGGAAACACCCATGTTACTGACGGATACGACTTCTTTTAGAAAGCCCTGAAACAAAACGCAACATTGCATATTCTACCGTGTATGAAGAAGTGATTGGATTTGGACACAGAGAGAGAGGACAGAGAATAGACAGATGGAGGGGACAGAGAAAAAGTAGATCCTATATTTTTCTTTCCACTTTAATTCTATCCATGTGCGTTTACACCGGTGTGCCCTATGTATCAATTTCTGGCCGTGTTTACAGAGCTGGTTACATTTTCATAAATGGCTTGTTCTACAGCCTGGGATCTACTGTACAGCCTGTATATCCGTGGGAGCAGATCCCCCTAAATGTGGACCTCCGAGGTTTCTCATTCTTCTTCGCCAGCAATTTCCAAAAACGGTCAGGCTCCGGCTTTTTGTTTTATGATTGAATTACCTGATTATCTGGGTGTTTTGTTTCACTTCAAAATTGAGGTCAAGAATGACAGGAACAATGATACTGCTTTTTTTTAAAGCTAAACCAGCAGTTAAATGTATCTTATAATCCAGTCTGCCTAATGGTGGAAAAACATAATAATTTCTGAGAGGAGTAAAGGGTGAATGTAACAGACCTCCTCCATGGTATACTTCATCTGGCACACGGACGCGTGGCGGTCACAGCCCTGGACCGGGTTAATAGGGCGACACACGTTGATGTAGTATTTCTTACGACTCGCTGGATCCGTCAGGTCCATCTCCACCCAGTTCCCACTCGCAGAAGAGCGAGACAAGCTTTTGAGGTGGGACAAACATATGTATTCATATGGATTATCACAACACAATTTTTTACACAATTCATCAATGGGACTATAATATTGCACGTTTAAACAGGTATATATTGACCGATTTTTGCTTCGAATTGACCTTTGTCAACCGTATTTGCACGCTAATGTTAAAGGCGGGTCAGAAAAGTTAAGTCTTGAACCTGGGTTGGTCACAAAGGGATTGATAGCATTGAATTACAAAAACTGATCAGTAAATGTTTGAATAGTTTTTACACTGCAAAAAGTGATGAAAAACAAGTCATAAATTGCTCAAATTTGGCAAAATGTATCTTAATTCAAGCACATTTTGACTGCCTTAAAACAACATTTGGCAATGAAAGCAGAAAAAATATCTTGTTTTACTAATAGATGTATATAAATTGGAATGATAAAATAAAGCAACAGTTCTTGTTTTAAGACGGTCAGAATGTGCCCAAATAAAAAACAAACGCTTGATTCAAGAAATTATTACCACATATTTAATCATTTTTTGCAGTGTATAAGAAGGGGGCTACTGGGAATAAAGATGATGCAAATACATTGAATTGAATTGAATTGAAAGACAAGTTAGATATAACATGTTTTCACTGTGGAATTGCTCACCTGGATAAGTCGTACTGCTGCAGAGAGACGGGGTCCGTCACCAAACACTCATGTGGGGTTTCAGGACAAGCGTAAGACGTGTACCAGCGGAAGTTGTACGTGTAATCGTCCTCAACCTAAAAACACATAAACTATTTTACCTCCATATCAACCTCATTAGATACATGTGTGAGTGTGTTTCAATAAAATGTACTTGATATTCGGGCTTTCCCACTCCAGCCTGGGGGTCACAGAGGAAGGAGATGAGCGTGGATCGCAGGGTGTGCTGTTTGTTGTTGTACTGGAAGCCGTTGATGTAGGTGAGTTGGATCAAACCATCGTAGTAGGACAAGCGTGAGTTTGCCTCGCCAAGACTCCAACTGGAACTACTACAAGAGCAATCAATCAATCAACTTTTGTTTGTAGAGCGCCTTTCCTACACAAGGCAACAAAAGGAATAAATCACAAACATTAAAACCTACATAAACAGTATAAAATATGATAACATTAAGATCACAAGAAATATAAAAAAAAAAACATAGAAAATAAAATCACACAAGTAAATAAAAAAACGCTGTTATTTTACCACCTGAAGAAAAGAAGATGGCATAGTCTGGGATCGCGTCTTACATTCAGACAGAAGACATGTTTTATTGTCGATGGTAGACACAGCACGAACAAAGCACACGATCACAGATACAAGAGAATGCAAGTGTATTATACAGAGCGGAGGCATGAAGACCTCCAATCAGCAGCTTCCACGGTGTGCTTGTAGCTTGGCCTTCAGATAGACAAAACAAGGGAAAAGTACTGGCTTCTGCACATTGATAGATTGATGAGTTTAACTTTAACAAAAGTTGCTTAAAAGTGTTATGAAATCTCACATTCCCCCCTCTGGTCATACATTCACGTGTGACCATCAGGATCGATAAACAGCAACATAACATCATAACTCAATACTTAAACTCGGTACTTCACTCGGTACTTCAAAAAACTCAGAACTCGGAATACTTCAAAAACTCATAAAACTCATAAAACATGTTCAGATCTTTCATAAAACTTGTCAACAATCTTCAGTAAAATACCAAACTTCATCAGTCGATGGTGGTTCCAGATATTGCTTTGAAAACAGTCTCTCCCACTTCTCCGTGTTGGTTTCTTCAGGCTGCATTTGTGTCGAGCCATAGCAGTGAATTCTTCTGTGACGTGTCTTTCAATCACACGTTTCAGCTTTAGTGTCCAGATTCAGCAATCCAATTCAGTCCAAATGATGTCCAAATTCAGATATCCAATTGTTCCAAATTATGTCCAAATTGTTTAATCCAATGGTTCCAAATGGTGTCCATGCAAAAGAGGACGCTGTCCATGTCTCAGCAGCTCACAGTCTGACTGGAATCAGGGGCTGTGCAGATAGTCCAAGTGTGCTGGTCCAGATGCATGGTTTCTCTTGAGGTTTCTCAGTTTTGGCTTAAAAAAAAAACACTTTTTGTGTAAAAAAAAAGTAGTCTTCTGTTCTCTAGATGTTACAGACAAGGCCCGCATCCTTCCACCACCTGAAGAAGATGGCATAGTCTGGGATCGTGTCTTACATTCAGACAGAAGACATGTTTTATTGTCGATGGTAGAGACAGCACGAACAAAGCACACGATCACAGATACAAGAGAATGCAAGTGTATTATACAGAGCGGAGGCATGGAGACCTCCAATCAGCAGCTTCCACGGTGCCATGTAGCTTGGCCTTCAGATAGACACAACAAGGGAAAAGTACTGGCTTCTGCACATTGATAGAATGATGAGTTTAACTTTAACAAAAGTTGCTTCAAAGTGTTATGAAATCTCATATTCCCCCCTCTGGTCATACATTCACGTGTGACCATCAGGATCGATAAACAGCAACATAACATCATAACTCAATACTTCAAAAACTCATAAACTCTGTACTTCAAAAAACTCAGAACTCGGAATACTTCAAAAACTCAGAAAACTCATAAAACATGTTCAGATCTTTCATAAAACTTGTCAACAATCTTCAGTAAAATACCAAACTTCATCAGTCGATGGTGGTTCCAGATATTGCTTTGAAAACAGTCTCTCCCACTTCTCCGTGTTGGATTCTTCAGGCTGCATTTGTTGTGTCGAGCCATGAATTCTTCTGTGACGTGTCTTTCAATCACACGTTTCAGCTTCAGTGTCCAGATTCAGCAATTCAATTCAGTCCAAATTATGTCCAAATTCAGAAATCCAGATTGTTCCAAATTATGTCCTTGCAAAAGAGGACGATGGTGTTGTCCATGTCTCAGCAGCTCACAGCCTGACTGGAATCAGGGGCTGTGCAGATTGTCCATGTGCTGGTCCAGATGCATTGTTTCTCTTGAGGTTTTTCAGTTTTGGCTTAAAAAAAAAACACTTTTTGTGTAAAAAAAAAAGTAGTCTTCTGTTCTCTAGATGTTACAGACAATGCCCGCATTCTCCACCACCTGAAGAAGATGGCATAGTCTGGGATCGCGTCTTACATTCAGACAGAAGACATGTTTTATTGTCGATGGTAGACACAGCACGAACAAAGCACACGATCACAGATACAATAGAATGCAAGTGTATTATACAGAGCGGAGGCATGGAGACCTCCAATCAGCAGCTCCCACGGTGTGCTTGTAGCTTGGCCTTCAGATAGACAAAACAAGGGAAAAGTACTGGCTTCTGCACATTGATAGATTGATGAGTTTAACTTTAACAAAAGTTGCTTAAAAGTGTTATGAAATCTCACACACCCCTATGAGAACTGCATATTTCAATTCATAGATGAATTTTGAATGGAGATAATATAACTATGCTGTGTGTGACAAAGTGAGTCTTATTACTCCACTTGTCCCTTTGCGTACACCCTTTGTTCTGCACACATACATAAATGTAAATGTTCACTATATTTATTCAAGTAGAGAACTTTGTCCTCTCCATTTGACACATCCTGATGCCACCAGGGCCTCTATCAGGAGCAGTGATCGCCGTAGTGCTGCGCCCGGGAACCCATCTCCAGATGTTGATGCTCGGCTTGGTTAGGACAAAGCCTGAAGGATTTTTACCAATTGTGCATTTTTTTTTAGTGGTAGGGGAAACCGGAGCACCTTGAGGAAACCTACATAGACATGGGGAGAACATGCCAACTCGACTCAGAAAAGCCCTGTTCCGACTGGGATTCGAGTCCAGGACACACACATACATACACTGCTAACAGAGGTATGTATTTAAGCAGATTGTAGCTGAGTGGGAGGAGCCAATCTCACTTCCCATGTGGTCTTTGGACAAAAGATATAGATATTTTTGGGTGCACTCTAAATAAATAAACTTTTTTGGCAAACATTTTGGACCTTTGCATTCTTTCTTCTGCCACCTGGGCCACTCCATGCTACACTACCTCGCATAGTACTTTTTATGTAACAATTTTGAATTGTGAATTTATTTTAAAAAATGTTTGATCTTCTGTTGGCATACCTTTTGTCGGACTGACACGCCCCGGCCTTTGCAGGACACGTGGCAGCAGTGACTGGGCTGCACACGTTGATGTAATAGTCGTACTTCCCGTTGGTCAAGTTATAGTAACCAGCATTGGGTTTGGAAAGCGGTGATAGGTCAAAGGTGAATCCTGGAGAAAATTTGAAAAAAAAGTCTAAAATCATGATCTTCAGCGTAGCTACAATAAACTGTAACTGGCATCTTTTTCTACATACAGCCAAGAGTAAATTTAATGCATTGTATTTGGGGATTTGGCTTTCACATGCAGGTATGGCCAACCAGGGGTAATTTAAATGGGCATCTGTGCAATGGTGTTAATTCATATAAAACTAACAATAAAAAAACAGCTCATACCGGCTTTTGGATCCTCAACTTTACAATTGTCTCCTTGAGTCTTGGAAAGGACGCAGGCGGCGGCCGTGTACCACTCCAGCTCGTAAACACAACCTCCTGAAGAAATGCTGCGGAGGACAGGAGCGCTCTCCAAGTCTCCTACATGAAGTCATGTTAGAAATGAGACATCCAGAAACTCAACCTCAGCAGAATAAAGAAGCACAGAACAAAAGGCGACTCACCGGGTTTGCACTTGAGAGTTAAAATGGTCTGGATCCTGGTGTTCAGTCTGCAGATGTCTCCGTCGGTGTAAACCAGACGAAGGTCATTTTCAATTTTAGTTTTTTGTGGTGAAGAAAGGAATCTTCCCAGGCTAATTGTTTTATTGTTTTTGTCTAGAACCACAAACATGACCAAAAAAAACGTATACTAAAATTAATTAAAATTTGGTCACACTTTAGATTGGCCCAACTTTACAGGTATTTTTTATTATTATATATACATTCATTAAGATTTCCAGGTCAAACATTCATAATTCCAAAACATAACAAGGCGACAGCTATAATACAAAGGTAAAGAAAAAAAAAGAAAAAATTTTACAAAATAAAAATATGGGGGGAAAAAAGAAACAAATCATTTATAGAGAAATTAAGTCCCAATTACTGTATAATTAATGGTTAACTAGCCCTTAAGGTATTTATTAAGCACCTTTTAGACCTTATTCTACATGGGGCCTATTCAACATCTAACTACTAACTGACACTTTCCCATGTGGGTTAGGGTTAAGGTTAGCGTTAGTCTTGGGGTTGGGGTACAATAATTAGCTCTTAATTAGTATTACTTTGTGAGGGCTAATCTAAACTGTTACTGAAACTTTCTATAGTCTGACCAACAGTGAGTGATTTTTCGTACCTTTGGCACAGACCGCAGCATCCTCAGGGCAGCCGGCAGCTCCTCCCGTCTGGATTATTTTGTGACATACATTGAGGTAGAAACGTTTTGATTCTGCGTCTGATGCTTTGGCGTCTACCAGCTCCCAGTTATCGGCTGCATCAGACTCTGAAGAGACATGTGGCAGTTGAGTGACCAAACCTCTCAGCGCTGATTGAAGAATGTTTTATCTAATGTGTTTTAATATAGTTGTAAATGTACTTAATCCTAGGAAATGTCAATATCACTGATGCAGAATGAAAGAAATGTACTGAATGGCAAAGTCCACCGCAAAAAGTATCATCATTTGAGTACATTAAAACAAGATTTGCCAAAAAGAAAAGCAAATGTATCTTGTTTTATAAAGATACAAAAAAATCCTCCCTTTGAATAAGAAACAAAGGCAACAGTTCTTGAAATTAGACTAAATGACTTTGTCCCATTGGCATATCTCGTTTATAGTAGGGGTGCGACGATATATCGATTTTTCGATATATTGCGATACTTTAAAAAAAAAATTGGTATCAATACTTAATGTATGGCTACATTACGCATCTCCATTCTGTTTATCATGAAATAAAGAGTATTTTTTCTTTTATTTATGCCATAAATTGGCATATTGTATATTTCTGACCAATATATCAATAAACGTCATATCGTGATAAAATCGTTATCGTAATATTATCGTTATCGTGATATTATCGTTAGCTTATCGTTATTGTTAGCTTTGTATCGTGTATCGTATCGTATCGTGAGGTACCCTTAGGTTCCCACCCCTAGTTTATAGACGGTCAGAATGTACTCAAAAATTAGGATAAATACCACTCAATTCAAGCAATAATCGAGTACCTCATATTTTATAATTTTTTGCAGTGTGTAAAAAAGCTGTAGCTGTAGGAAATCTCACCTGGGAACCGAGTGAGCGGTGAGAGGTCATAATGTTTTTTGTCATCCAGAACGCGACACATCAGGTCCTCCTTCTCCTTGATGCAGGCGTAAGGCGTGTCCCAGTCAAAGTAATAAGTGCAGTCCGTCTCTCCGGCGTACACAGGGTTACCCACCCCAGCTGCACAAACGCAATCATTATTATTCGTAATAACTGTACAAATACAATAATGGCACAGAGATCATGAAAATACTGAAAGTAAAGTAAATACTGACTAATATTCTTGTTGCATTCAAAGTTGATCATGGTCATCCTCTGAAAGCCTGAGGAACACTTGGAGCCATCTGGATATATTAGAGTCAAGTCTCCATCCGAGTAACTAAACCACACAAACAAGAACAGAGGTTATTGTGACAGCTGATGTACTCAAAGTTGAAAAAAGGCCCTTCCCACATTCACATACAGTACCTGCTGGACTATATGGGGGACAGAATATCAGATTTATGCAGCTATAATCTGGAAGTCTTCCTGAAAATGTCTGACAATGTTCTAATCCAGGTTAAAAACATTTAGCTGTGCATACAACTGAGGGATTTTACCATTACTCTTCTTAATTGACTGGGATTATTTATTTTATTGCGTTGTGTGATTAAGCACTTGCCTTGTGTATGAACTGTGCTATACAAACAAAATTGCCTTGCCATGCCTGAGTGCACCTGTGAATAAACCGCACAAGCTAAGGTTTTTGTGTTGTAATAGAACACTTAAACAACAGCTAAACAAAGCTGACAGACAAAACTGGGAAAAACAACAAGGTGTTTTTAAGGCACTGTTGACCGGTTAAACAAATAAATAACAAATTAAGCTAAATGTATACGTCATGTAGCAACCAAAACTTGATGGACTTATAATAATAAGTCCACAAACATAAAAAACCCAACTCCAACACAATAATTCCATCATACATAGGCCCCATTGCTATATAAGGAGCAGGGTTCAAAGAAAAAGTTTCCATTTGACAATTAATGACATCGATCATTCTGCTCCCTCTGGATTAATGTTCGAACTGTTTGATTCTCTGATCTGTTATTGGTGAAACAACAACTTTGTAAAGTCATCCGAGAAGTTGATTTAGTGTTATACAAAAATAAATTGGAATTGAATTATTGTCCGGGAATTACGATAATCATCTAAGACCGCCGAAGATTGAGTAGCTAACTTTTTGTTTGCCTGTTGTGCCCGCTGTGTAGCTCATCTTTGGATGCCCTGAAGGACCCCACGTTGGGAACCGTTGTAATAAATCATTCAGTTTAATTACACCCCACTGATCATTTATCAAAACGTTCCAGCGTCAGAGCAGCTGTCTGTGAGCTCCAAGTCATGCTGACAGTGAAAGCCCCACACTGTGTGCACAGCTTTTTGCATCCGTCAACATTTCTGAGCAGAAGCCAAACACACACATAAGCATCGGGACTAAAATTAGACTTTCAACACGAGTCCAGCTGAAAAAAAGGAACATTAATGCAGTTTTCTGCATCTTCTGTATTAAGAGTCGGCTGAGTGCAGACTAAAAAACATTCTTTAGCAAAAACACAAGAGAAGAGGAGTGCGTATGGGGATCAAAAAATATAATACAAGGGGGTTATAATTAAAGGATCCGTGAGAAATGTAGAAAGCAAAGAGGAAAAGGTCTGAGGCACTTTGACTAAAACATTCTGTAGTTTGGGTAGAGCTTGCAATTCACAGCAAGAAGGTCCTCGGTTCGATTCCACTTTTGTGTGGGGTTTGCATGTTCTCCCCGTGTCTATGCAGGTGCTCTGGTTTCCCCTACCACTAAAATCCTGTACAATAGGTCAGAATGTAATGAGTGAGTGAATGGATAGAGTTGGTTGGGAGCTTTGATACGTCAGTGCGTTCCGTCAGCAACCAGGTGTGGAGTGAATGGAGAAGTATCTGAACTCCGAACATTGAAAAGCTCTTTGGGTGACCTTGGTCTGTAAAATGCGCTATATATCACCCACAAATAGTGAACGTGAGCTGGGTTTAGACCTTCGTGAGACAGGTTAGTTTTACCCTACTGATGATGTGTTGTTGCAATAGTAACAACACAACTACTATTGCAATTACTATATCCGAATGTTTAATTGTGTATATATATATATATATATATAAACATAACTTACAGTAGCTATAGGACAGACAACAAAAAACACACAACACAACAATTCAGCTAAAAAATGTGGACATAAAGATTGTGTTGTTTGTTTTTTTTCATTGCATTTCTTGTGTTTGAACTGTTTGATTCTCTACTGCAGTAGGAGTCGGCTGAGAGCAGACTAAAACACACCTTACCGTAGAGTCTGGTTTTGGTATCTGCCGGCCACTTTCTGGATGTTGCCGCTTCTCTTCACCTGACAGGACGATATGAACCCGTCCTTTCCGCACTCCTCGGTCTGGACTGGGCCGCAAACGTTCAGATAAAAATCATAGCTTTCAGACCCGCCTTCCTTTCCAGAAAAGGCATGATATGGGAGATCGGTGGCTGGAAAACACATTAAGAAACAAGATATTGATAAACGTTCCAAAATCTATTAGACTGTGCCATCTTTGTCCTCAGACTGATTTAACCTCGATGATGAGTACAGCTTGTGACAAAACGTCCTTAAAATGTGACAAAAATATAACTAGAAATACATGTAGTAGTGTTTTTGTGTTTACGCTTAACATATTTTTTTTTCCTGTGAATAATTTTGTGTTTGCAATGAATAAACAAATAAATGCATGTTGATAAATGTGATGCTAAAGTTGTCAATAATGTAATGTGACCGTCATTGTGGATGCTATAATAATGCTACAGTGGTTTCTCACAGGCCCTGGTGAGTTGCGACAGGTCTATGGAGATGTCGTGTTGTTGGCTGGTGAGTTTGCAGCTGTGGCTCTCCAGATAATCCCGGTGACAGGCGTATTCCGTCACCCACTCCACCTCGTAGCGGCAGTTTGTCTCCGCTACCATCTTCGGAGGACTGCCCTGGGAAAACAGCGACAAGAACGAGGAGAGAGGGTTAACGCTGCATTACACTGGGGCTGGAGTCGACCAAAGAAAGCCATGATACAGACTAAGACAGAGAATAGACTTGATACATGCAGTTGATCGATTACTCAAAAAAGGGGTGTGGTTAAAGCTCTCAAAACTACAGTATGTCTAATACATTTGACTGTATTCAACTGTCCTCACAACAGATGGTAAAAAGCTGCTGCTCTTACCGATTTGAAACTGCTATAATAGTGTACGTTTAAGTCTATTATTACACCAATATTTATGACTTGTTCTGAAGGTTTGAGGGAGAGAAACTGTAGCTGACAGATAACACTCTCTCTTTGTTTCTTGGGACCAAACACAATCAATACTTAAAGTACTGAATAAAGCATTGTGAATTGGGGAGATAGATTTGGCTACAATTTCAAAGTAAACACCAAACATTTGAGCCATTTTTCTCCATGGCTCCTGATTCCCATAGCAATCTTTAGTAAATATAATTTTGTCGACTAATGCAATTTTTGGACAGTTAAAATCATACCATCATGAGACTAGTTAATCGGCTTAACAACTAAAGATGGACGCCCCTGTACTACAGAGACAGAGAAGTTTATAGAAGAAGTAAGAATACCGGATTTCTGCTTGATGGACAAATGAAGGTGACGTTGACAGTTGGAGCGTGCTGGTTACACATCTCAGGAGGTGGTCCCGCCGCCACATACTGTAACCGAAGTCTACCGAGACAAACGCAATTGGAGAAAAAACACATTAGTTAGGGATAAACATACAAAAAAGATACTCTCTGGTCTCTCCCTCTCTCGCCCTGGTCCCTCTCTCACCCTGGTCCCTCTCTCACCCTGGTCCCTCTCTCACCCTGGTCCCTCTCTCACCCTGGTCCCTCTCTCACCCTGGTCCCTCTCTCACCCTGGTCCCTCTCTCACCCTGGTCCCTCTCTCACTCTGGTCCCTCTCTCACTCTGGTCCCTCTCTCACTCTGGTCCCTCTCTCACTCTGGTCCCTCTCTCACTCTGGTCCCTCTCTCACTCTCTCAGGTCTATTTCAAAATAAATAAAATAAAAATCTGCGCTGACCTGTCGTTGGGAAGCAGTTCTAGTCGTGCTGTGGGTGAGCCCATGTCAAAGGCCCCCTGCTGGGTGACGAGGCAGGCGGCTGAGCCCTGTGGACATGATCTTTCCGGAAGATCTACAAAAGCAAAAGGGCAAGGCACATTAGCGATCAATTACGGCTCAATGGCGCTGTCCTGAGGTGACGCAAATTGAAATGGATAAGATGCTGAAAGATCCAAGACGAACCGAGGCTGCGGCAGATGTTGATGTAGAAGTCCACGTTGTCGTCTCCGTCGTCCACCAGATAACCACTGGTGACTTTGATCAGAGGGTTCAGATCATGTTTGCCCTTAGCGCCAAACACATAACAAGGAACCTAGGCCAAAAACACAAAAGAAAGCACATTTTCAAAGCTGGGGTACCTAACTTTCAAACCACAAATAAATCCTTGTAAGTAACAGGAAGTCACAAACTAGGAAATTGCTTCGGTATATGTTGCATGATGCTATTGCTTTAGCTTATATGTTCTGTAATTCTTGTAAATGTGTATGATTTTATGTCTTTGTAAAGCACTTATGGTTGCGCTGCATGAAGCTTTATAAATGCTTTGGAAATAAACATGATTGCTAAGTTACTAGTCCTGGCTTTAAAGCAGTTTTGGCCCCAATCAAAGCTTTAGGTCCTAATTTTTCGGGCAGAAAAGTGAAAAAAGTATTGTATTTGTACAAGATTGTATTCTTGTTCTACCCTGGGGTAAAATTGACCCACCGCAATAATTATAAAAACATTTGAGCTGAATTCTAATGATCTTCCCTAGCTTGACCTGCCCTGGGCCATTTAGACCCTTTCAGACCCTAGGGTATTTTTCTTCTACTTTGAATTATCTGTGGTTGGTCATTTTGACCCGAGGGTAGCACAAGGGTTAAAGAATATGAAAATTAGCTTTGTTTTTGTATGTCTGATATTAAATATGGTATACAATACATATAACGCTTAAAATACTGTTAAACCTATGGTGTAGAATAGGATGAATAAGAACTGCATTTGCCCATTCCTTTTTTGTTGGTAAATCATTGTTTTATTGTTTGAACTAGGGGTGGGAAACTCAGGGTACCTCACAATACGATGTGCGACACAAAGCTCACAATAACGATTATCTCACATTATGACGATGCAGCGATTATCGATATATTGGTCAAAAATAACCTACAATATTTTTCTTTTATTTATGGCATAAATTAAGTGAAAAAATACACTTTATTTCAAGTTAAATGGATAAAGTGAACAGGCAATAATGCCTTTTAACCTGCACATTTTAGTAAAAATCTTACTTAAATCTGTCTTACATCCAATAAAATCAATATGAACATTCTACAGAAATTGTATAATGTGTAATGTAGCCATATATTAAGTATCAATACTTTTTTTTTTCAAATAAAGCTTATAAAAAGGATATTTATATATATTTTTTTAAAATTGATACTTAGCAAAAGCATATCGATTGCATGAGAAAGTATCACGATACATCACTCACATATATTGTCACACTCCTAGTTTGAACTGTAACTTTTTTGATTGACAGTGACAGAAATAAATAAATCAATCAATCAATAAAAAAAGAGAGGACCATCAAAGGGCTCTTTCTTACAAATAATCAAAAGATAACCCAAACTTTAAGGACATCGGTTATCTGCCCTTTAAGGACCAAGGCTCTTCTATGTGATTATTATCATTGCATTTCTTGTGTTTGATCCTCAGATCTGTGTTGGTGAATTGAATGGTTTTGTAAAGTCCTCAGATTCAAAAATAAATTGAATTGAATGTTTTCTAATATGATGAAGACATTATGGTATGGCGTGGTAACAAACACGATGCATTAAAGAAGAAATGTGTTTTGTAACTTTAACCACAACGGAAAGATCAAGGTCTAAGAACAAAATATGTACTAAGGTTTTCCTGTCACCACCTCCACAACACCTCGTCACAGCCCGAGCTTCCCTTTGCGCACGCACCTCTTTGTGGGGTTTGAATGTGTCTTTTTTGCAGGCCGCATAAGTTCTCCACTCAAAGTAGTGCACACACTGCGCTGAAGCCACAAACTCTGGGGTCCCCTGCAGAAAACACACACACGTTATTGTCAAGTCAAAACAAGGCATGACCCTGGAGCGCGACAAAAAGGTGCGACCACATTTAATAAAATAACGTCTTTCTTCAGAATGTGTCATATCTATGCAGCGCTTTTGATCTGAGGTGGGTGGATTGTCTCCCTTATTTTGCGGAAAGGAAATAATTGCTCACTGAGTCCATTGAGTATTTTCAATTCAACTATTCCAGACTCTTGGTCCACCTTAACAGACAGACACAAAATACAGTTTAATATGTTTAGTTTGAATCCTTGAACAATGCGATCAGAAACAAAAGACAGCCTTTAGTATAGTTCATTTACTTCCAGTGTTAAAATAATAGATATTTTATAGTTCAGCAACTCAAAAATGTTTGGAATATGCCATACTCAAATATCAGCAGTTTAACACAAAGAGTGAAATTAGAGCATAAATATTGAAATTAAGTTAAGGTGTTTTTTACAGTATATACACTACAGTTACTGTTGTGCAATACATAATGATTATTGACAAATGACACCTAAGGAATCTATACCAGCTCATAAATGAGGTCCGATAATGCAACATTGACACAGAGACACACACAGACACACAGACACAGAGACACGCACACACACACACACACACACACACACAGAGAGAGATACACACACAGTACTGACCATTGTTTTTCCACACTGGAAGCTGATACTGGCTTGGAAGTTGTTGTTGCTTCCTGGACATTGCTCGGTTGTATTGAAGTCAAACACATAACCAGAGACCTTGGCTTGGGAAATATTACCTAAAAAAACACACATAAAGTTTAGAGACATATGTTTTTGAACCAGTTATAACTAGGATTGTTAAAAGTATCAAATATCAAATATTAAACACAATATTAAACAATATGTTTTATGATTTTTGAATGGGGCGACAGTAGCTCAGTTGGTAGAGCATTGGCCTTAAGGCCAGAAGGTCGTGGGTTCAATTCCCACCTCTGCACCTTCTCCACCGACTCCCACTGATGACTGCTGTCGTTGTGTCCTTGGGCAAGACACTTAACCCCACTTTGCCCAAAGCCCCCACTGAAAGATCAAGGCTATGCTCACACTCAGAGAGCAGCCGTCCTCCTGTGGACTCACCACCTGCAGAGGGTCAGTGAGGGGCTGGTGCTATGAGACTTGGGTGGCATCTCTGACTGCCACCCCCCTGACCCAGAAATGGATTAAAGGGTAGAAAATGGATGGATGGATGGATGGATTTTTGAATGATTTTCACCTCAGAACTAGCACACAAAACTAGTACTAGTGAAAAATGGTAGCTTGTTGCCCAAAACAAATGCATAAAGAAATTAATTAGATCATCATCACCGTTGTATCAAAATCTGTACCGAGTATCAAGGACTTGTTCGTCACTTTTGTGAAAACTCTGGTTATGACATAGGACTAATGTGTTTGTTGACATTACCATTTTAAGTCTATGTTGAGATAGCCAAGCCCCGACTTGCACAGGGCACAAGTCTCATAAATCCTCAGAGAAACATGGAAAATGTGTCACCCATGATTTCCCAAGTTAGATAAATGTATTGTAGGTCAGACTGATAGGCAGAGAATTGACAAGATAAGCTGTTATACATTACACAGCATGTGCGGGTAAGCATAATTTTTACACAATTTTACCGCAACAGAAACAAATTAATAAAATATCAGAATAACCAAACCAAATGCAAAGATCAAATGCTTTTTAATGCAAGAAGGTTTTGGCTGTGTGTTTGTATCGCTCCAATAGGACAGGGACCATAAAGCCTGCAGCAGAATGACCTACTAACACACAATGCACTGTCCCATCAAAAGCAAATCCATTTACACTGAATACAATTGAAAACCTGTTGAGGAAATAACCATTGCAAGACAACAATGACTCAACTCAGGAGGAAGTCTGTGTAGAACCTTTTGCCACACATTTCCCATTACAGCATTTCAGATTATGGCGAGCGCAAAACTATTTATAACCAAGATATCATAATAGATCAATCTTTATGACAGACTTGTGGTCCAGGAATTGGACTGGAGGTCCAAGAATAAACATAATATAACATAAGAATAACATAATGTACTGTTTCCTCCTTATAAAATACTTACACAATGTTAATTTTCACATCTCTATTGTTTCAGTTAAAAGTGCCACAGTTTTAATAGATGGTAAATAACAAATTATGTGGAGGGCCAAGCATTACATGTTTCTATTTGTGTTTGAGAACATTTCAGTCTGGTGTCCCTGGGTCATGTGACACGTCAGTGGATGATTAAACTCTCTTGTGACTTTGCTGCTGCTTCTTCCTCGTCATCATTTCTAGAAGTCCCTCATGTAAAGCTGGGGTACCCAACTTGTAAACCACAAGAATAGAGCAGTTTATAGTATTCTATGGGATCTTAGCGTTTATTTTTAATGCCATGTGATTTGAATGTTCATGATTTATGTGATGATTTATGTCTTAAGTGATATGGGCTGTGAGGCAATGTGTGTCACCCTCTGTAGGGAAAGCGCCTGCAAATAAAGATTTATTTATTTATTTAACGATGTAATAATAATAATAATGTAGTTCCTGGCTCTTAAACAGTTCGGTCCCGTCACTAATTTGCACAAAATTTCATTTAAAACATTTGTCACTTCTTTAGATCAGCTTTTTCAGACAGAAAAGTGAAAGAGGAGTACAGTGCTTGCTGGACAAAAATAGTCTATTTTTCTCAAGATTTTTCAACTCTGCAGGTTATAAGCAGCCAATGTTTGCATTTTTATTTTGTGTTGCCATTTTGTCCTGATGAGCAGGAAGGGGTTTGGACACGGCTCTATCAGCTGCTGATCTCCAGAGCTGATGAAGTAGAAAACATTCCTGCTTTCTGGTTTGTTTATGTGAACAGCAGAGAGACACAAGGAAGTGCAGGGAAATACAAACGAATGGTTTTTATGTGTATTTCCTACATTATCAGAGCAGAAATTATTAAGATTTTGACTTTTATTTTTGACTCAAAGTTTTAGTTGTTATTGTCAAATATAGACTTTGTGCTTTGATCATCACAGTGCTTTAAAAGACCATCATCAAATCATGCTCCAGTTAAAACAGTCAAACGCCTTTGTTTTGCTCCATCAGATGTTGGTGTGTGTACATTACAATATGAAAACCTTTGTGGCTTATAATTACATGTGGCCTATATTACGTGTGGACAATTTATCTTCAGATGTCGCTGGTGCAGTTTATAAACAGGTCCCCTTAATAGTCCAGAAAGTACTGTATTTGAAACACACCATGTTTACTATTAAGATAAAGCTAGCATTCATTAATCAGATTTGTTCACGACATTTTATCTTCACAAGACTTTCTGCTGGACAAAGAGCATGTGTTCAGCATACATGAAACAATAAATGTCAGGTTCTGTGCTTTAAGTCACCGTTTGGTCTGATGGAACTACAACCATGCAGACGGCTTCAGACTGCTTAAGTAGCACACTCGAGACATGTTAACATTTGCATGTGGGAGCGAACATGGAGGTCGTGACTCCTGCTTGTCGTTATGGCTGTGTCAAAGGGAAAAAGACAAGTCTGGGCTTATGTCAGTTTTAGAGAAGTTAAAGTGAGACATAGCAATCGAAACCACCATAAGGAAGTGATTCAACAGACCACATCTTCTCAAGGCTGAATAATAAAGAGACATATTTAGATGTAAAATGGAGGGGGGTGAGTAAAAAAGTGTCCCTGAATATTAAATTCTAAGGGTGTTCCAAGAGTTTTCCAAGAGTGACATAGAAAATGTACTACCAACTAGCAGTACATTTTACTACTACTACTAATGTAATACCACACATTTTTGAACATCTAATTGGAAAAAACTTACAAGACTTAAAGAAAATACTACATGGTAAAATCTAAACTACTCATTTGTAAATCTAGTTAGTGATAGTTAAAAACCTATGACTGCATTTTAGATTCATATAAAAAAACGGACAAATACAACCAAATGGCAACTCGACAAGACTTAAGACGGGCTTTTGTCACAAAGGCAGAGCTCCAACAGATCACACAATGAAATTGAAAGAGGAAGTGGATGACAATAATTCAGTACATTAACATGTTTTGTAAGAGATGATTTACCCAAACCCATTTCAACTGGTGCAAAAACTACACTATAACATTATTCAAAATGGTGTATTTCAAGGGTGCAGAAAACAATACTCTGGACCATGACACGGGATACCTTAGAAAATATGTTTTAAATCAGGTGTTCAGTGTTCTGAAAACAAAATTATAAAGTATTCTCCCCAACACTGCAGATGCCTGATGAGCTGCGGAGCATAAAAGTGTATTGACCTGTTCCCATCAAGTCTGTGTTGGCATCAGGCGGAGACCACAGCGCATTCAGCAGAGATCAGATGTGCTGACGGCCTGATAAAGCACCAGAAAATCTGTGCTATCTGCCTCAGTTCAACAGTCAAAAAGTACTACAAAGATACTGAACTCATCCATTTTAGAGAAATATGGCTTTGAATGAACATACCAGCAAGAAATCATTTAACATCAAGCAAATGGTATTCAGAATTAAAAGTAAAAAGTTTATTAGGTCTCCTTATGATACTCAGGCACATCTTAATTGAGCACAACGGTCCCTTGTTTATGCAAGACTTTGGTTCTAAATATAACCCACAATAAGTGATAACCACAAAGTATCAAATGTGTTTTAAGGCTGTAAAGCAGGGAGAGAGCAGGGAGAGACGAGGGAGAGACGAGGGAGAGAGTAGGGAGAGACGAGGGAGAGAGTAGGGAGAGACGAGGGAGAGAGTAGGGAGAGACGAGGGAGAGAGTAGGGAGAGACGACGGAGAGAGCAGGGAGAGAGCAGGGAGAGAGCAGGGAGAGAGCAGGGAGAGAGCAGGGAGAGAGCAGGGAGAGAGCAGGGAGAGAGCAGGGAGAGAGCAGGGAGAGAGCAGGGAGAGAGCAGGGAGAGACCGCATAACGTACAACAATATGACTGAAGAGCCTTTTCTGTCGCTAAAGACCGTGAAACACTCTGCCGCGTGTTTGTCATGAGATGCACACCACAGAGGAGGAGGGAGGAGGAGCACAGAGACAGGTATGTGCTGTGAAAGTGGACTTCTCATTGAACATTAAAGGAGGCCATTTTAGAATAAACCTCCTCAGCACATTAGCTTGGTTTGATACCAGTTTTTCCCCATAAGGTTCTTGAATAACAACAATGAATTACAGATAGCACTGGCTGACCTTTTACATATTCATTTGAACCCAGATCTGACTCACTACCTCAATATTCTTGCACTAGAGTGTATTACAGATTTGTCTCCAGAATGAATATATATGAGTACTGTATATATTGCTTGCACTAGAGTAGGCTTGTCAATTTTTTAGTGGCTCCAGAAATCATTTTCAATTATCTTTATCACATTAACTTGCAACTTGCAACTTGGGGGCGGCACGGTGGCTGAGTGGATAGCACTCTCGCCTCTCAGCAAGAAGGTCTTGGGTTCGAATCCCGGTCGGACCAGGGCCTTTCTGAGTGGAGTTTGCATGTTCTCCCCGTGTCTGCGTAGGTTTCCTCCGGGTACTCCGGTTTCCCCTACCACTAAAAATATGTCCAATAGTTCTGGCATGCGCCTCCTGTACTGGCGACCCCGCTCCCATCTCTGTGTGGAGTGAGAGACAAATGCCCAAAATGAACAATTGTAAACCGCTTTGAGACTCAGATCTGCAGTGAAAAGGCGGTATATAAATAAAAACTTACTTACTTACTTACTAACATGGATGTAAAGGGGCAACTATGGCATGTAATATTTCACAATAATGCCTATTGTCTAACAACCATGCAATTGTATCTGTTCTGAAAAGTTAACTAAAATGTAATTAGAAGTGATGTTTTTCCCAATACACCTCTTATTGATGTTTGACCCAGTTGTGGTTGAATCCAAACCTACAAGAAAATATTATGCAAACTTATATCTAATACAATCATTTTGTCAACAGCCTTTAACACTTCTGTCCCCAACCAGCACTTTTGTTTTTAAATGTGTCCGCACTAGAAGATGCACTACTTTGTTTCTACTTTGTACTTTGTTTCTTTATAGCTTGAGTAAAATAACATCTCTTTCTATAGCTTAACAGAGTTGTGCTATACTTAATATTCCCGGATCTTGTATGTATGTAATCTTTATTACATCTTGCGTTGTGTGCTCCTCATTCCACCTGTTCTGTAACCTGTGATACAACACCGAAATTTCCCCACTGTGCTGATCCTCTGTGACGGACTTACCGATGGTGTGGTTTGTGTTGGTGGTGTGGTTGTGGGCACACACTGCAGCCTCTGGTCCACAGCTGGTGTTTGGAGAAGACTCGCAGAGCTTCAGACTGTAGCCAACGCTCTTATCTTGGTCTATGGCCTCCCATTTGTAGCTGCAACAGAACATAAGAGCAGAATGTTAACAAGGAAGGAGTTTACAAGAAAAAAAGTCATAATGCTAACAACAAAACTATTAGACTTTGCACAATTGTAAAGAATGCTGAGACTGCACTTAAAGTTTCTAACACGTTTTTGTGGAAAACTTTTGCATATATATAAGAACATTTATTAACTTTTATAGACATTGGTCATTCTCCCCTTAGACAAATGTCTCCTATGTGCTTATTATTAAGATATTTCCTCTGTTTGAAACATTTGATTGTCTGATCTGTGTTCAGGAATCAATAACTTTGAGATGACTACTGTTGTGATTTAGGGCTATACAAAAATAAATTGAATTGAATTGAATATAATGCATTACGTTTAGCCACAACCCAATTCTTTAACTGCTCCGATACTTAAGTCAATATTTGAACACAAACCTCCCAGTTCAGTTGGTCTGCAGAAATGCTTTCATGTTATTTATGCATTCTTTCCTTTTAATATTAAATGAATGTTGCCTTTATGAAGTTACATTACTACTACTACACTACTAAGTACACTACTAGCTGCAGAACTACTATAACAATTCCCAGATTTATAAAGTGAAACACATTGTTATAAAGAATGCCAACCACCCAGTTCAGCTGTAATGAAAGACAAAAAAGAACACAAACAATACCACGTTATACGTCTTATAATATGTATCATGTTTTGGCCATTCGATATAGATAAACATCAAAGTGTGCAGTGTCAATATAGCTGCATAGATATGTAACCTTTAAAAAGCAGTGTTTTTAAATTAGATTATAATTCACAAATAGTTGCTAACCCTAATAGTTTTAGCACGCAGCGAACTGCCGCCTGCATGACCTGATCACATCACATAAAAAGGTCCAAAGTGCATTGTCTCATAAGCACGTCTCTACACAGGCTAAATAATGCTCTTCACAGCCTAAAAAACGTGTCACTAATGTCGGTGGATCAGCAGGAGACAGGTTTCCCTCTTCAGCCTTTGCTATAGATATGATCAGGTTGAACCGCGGCATGATTCAGCCACATTAGCCGCAGTAAAGGACCTGCATTCCTGTTTGTTTGCTCATGATTGTGGCTCTTGTGTTGTGCTGGCTTTACCTGCAGAGATCCTGGTACCACGGGCTGACGCTGGGCTCCGCGGCCGCCAAACACACCGACAACAGCACCCACAAGAGCCGCTCCATCTCAGGCTTGTCCCCGCTCCGAAACAGCGTGTATTCCGCCGGTCACACAGACTTCCAGAGAACAACAAACTACGCGGACATGATACAGCAGCAGCGGTAGAGTGAGCACTGGGAGAGGAGAGAGGAGGAAGTGACAGGGCCCACGTGACTGACATCACATGACACGCACGGGACGCATGAGACGCACCCGAGAGAGGGGCGTGGCCAGATCTGATCCATGGTCCATTATAATATCGACAGTAACTTAATGTTGTAATTGTATAACAAATGAATGAATGACACATGTATTAGTGCCACAGTGGGGACTAATAACAATCAAAAGATTAAAATACAACCCTTTCTCCTCTTACCTGTTTCTACTCATGATGTATACACATATATCATAGAAGAATAGAATGTTCAGCAATAATGATAATAATAATCATAATAATAAGATTAATAAGAGCAGGACAGGAGAAGACTGAACAAGCTGGTCAGGAGGGCCAGCTCCACTCTGGGCTGCTCCCTGGACTCTGTGGAGGAGGTGAGGGACAGGAGGCCCCTGGACACTGTGGAGGAGGTGAGGAACAGGAGGGTGCTAGTCAAAGTCACCTCCATCATGGACAACACCTCCCACCCACTGCACAGGACTGTAGAGGAGCTGAGGAGCACCTTCAGTGGAAGACTGAGGCACCCCAGTGTAAGAAGGAGCGCTACCGCAGGGCCGTTATCCCCACTGCTGTCAGACTGTACAATAAGTCACTTTAAGTCACTTTAAGTCACTTGCACTAGGACTGAAAAAAACCCTGCACTACTATTGCCACTTTTATTGTACATAATATATCCTGCATTTAACATGTTTGCACACTTCTTTCTTTGCACATTTTTTTCTTCTTCTTGATTCTATCCATGCCAGATGTGACATGTAAATTTCTCTTGTGTGAGATCAATAAAGTCTATCTTATCTTATATTATCTTATCTTAAAGAACACAATCAGAGAAATATACTTTGAACAATGGAATTATTCTAACAAATGTCTTACTGACCTCGAAAAGCATGTGCATTTAGTAAAATCCCTGTCCCACAATACTAACACACACGACTCCGGATCAAGCATGGACGACGTGCTAAAATTATTATATGGGGGTTTTGCATAAGACTTTTGTCTTTAAAACTCCTATGCACGCTTTTATTTGTTTCGGTTGTAAATGTGCTTCTGAAGCCATTTTGCTGAAAAGTATCTGAAAAGACACCGATAGCCTTTTTATTGGTTATAATCCTAGACTGACAGCTAACTAACAGCTCTGCAGCGCCCTCCTACGTTCACCTTTGAGTATTGCAGAGCTTGTAACCTCGCCTGGTCGTTCTCCTTTTCTCCTTTTTTCTAATCCTCCACGGCTTCACATGTAAAAATCAAATGAAGGCCACATAAATATCTTTGACCCAGTCGTAATTTTTACTTGATCTTGTTTCCCTAAAATGAGGCCTTGAACAAAGCTTAATGAACTGTGACCTTTTCAATGTTGGAGCGTGGTGTTAAATGTCTTTGCAACCGGCAAAACGAGGGACCGACTTTGTTGTTCATGTTGCACAAGTGTAAAGACAATATACATGTATGTATGTATGTAATATGATGACAAGTACAAATAAAAAAATAAATACATGTTATACAGTACACTGCTGGACCCAGTATTTTAACATATTTGATGTAATAATAAACTGTGTGAGTTTGTGTGTGAACTTTATGTTGTGTTTGGGTGCTGAGTAAAAAAAAAGTGACAAATCCTGTTTTTCTAGGTGGCTAAATATGCAGATATTTAATAAAGATCAAAATCAAATACGTCTTTACTGTAATTGAGGCGACGTTGTAAAACTTGCTTTGTCCTGGAGCTTGTTCGGACATCGCCTCCTGCTTTGTTTCTGTTGTTTCTGTTGTTGTGGCTCCATTATCCTGAGCTCACTCAAAGCTCTGCTGGGACAGTGTCAGGTGTGGATCCCCGTCTCAGATTTACACTCACACACAGTGGGAACAAAGCACTGGGAGTCCACTGCTGCTGCCTCGGGTAAGCCTAACAGAATATCGCAATTATAATCAAGGAGGACAGTTGTATTTCTTCTCTAATATGAAATAGACGAATTATTTTGTTGCTGATTGTTTTGCATGTATTGTTTTGAGAAGAAAAGTCAACTATTTTTGAGGTAAAGGTTATTATTAGGTATTATTAACTGAATTACCTTATTATTAATAAATTACCTCAAATTATGAACCAGGACTGAAGCAGGATTGGAACAAGAATGGAGTAAGACTAAACAAAGCCTTAATCAGCAATGAGGACTGGAACAGGGCCGGAACAGGACTGAACCAGGACTTAACCATGACTGAACCAGGACCAGACCAGAATTGAGTGAGGGCTGCAATTATAGCTGCGTTTTAAGAAACACTGAGAAGCACTGATTTGTAAAAGTAAATTGAGATCCACTATTGGTTTATTATGCTTTTTCCATTTCTACTTATCTCTACATTTTATCCAAGTATCTTTACTCATCGTACAATTAGTGCTTTAGAATATACATATGAAAAGAAAGAAAAAAGTTCTAATGACAAACTCTCAAACTATACAAGTGCTATACAAGAATACATTGAATTGAAATGAACATTACTTACTTACAGTGTCAAATTTAGATTTATTTTTGTGACATTGTGTCTTAAATAGTGTCTGGTTGTGCAGAGGATGCTGTATGGCTGCGTCGCTGGTGTTCAGGCTGCATGACCGGGGGCCGGAGGTGCTGAGGGAGGTGCTGCTGGAGCGTGGCTGGGAAGAGTATGACAAAAGACAACAACACGACGAAGACTGGAACTTGTACTGGAAGGCCTCGCTCTTTCACAAGTCTGACTACTACAACCTGATGCCATGGCAACGGCTCAACCACCACCCAAAGACAATCGGCATCACGCGCAAGGTAAGGACGGAGGAAGAAACTGCAGCTTGAATTAAACTGGATGTAATTGGCAACTATACTACCTTCACTCATTCTCTAAAGAAACCCTAACCTTAATTAATAAAGTATATATATCTATCCATCTATCAGTCTATCTATCTATCTATCTTTCAATCTATCTAGCATCTAGCATCTATACATGTGTCTGACTATCAATCTATTATGTCTATCTATCTACAGTATCTATCATCCATCCATTCATTCATCTGTCTGTATATCTATCCATATATCTAGCTATCTGTCTATCTTTCTATCCATCTATCTATCTGTCTAGCTATTTATCTATTTGTCCGTCTATCTATCTATCGCTCTTGCCTTCCTATGAATGGAAGACCCAAATCTATGCCCTAAACCTTTACCAAACAGAAATGCATATTATTTGACATCTACAACTTTATTTTCTCAGGACTTTCTGACCCGTAATCTCAGAAGAATGAGAACCACGTTTGGGACCGGAGCGTATGACTTCAGTCCAATGGCATTCATCCTCCCAAATGACTACACACGTTTCCTGGCTGAATACAACCGTCAGCGTGGCGGCCCGGGTCTCGCTGTCTACTGGATCTGCAAACCTGTGGACCTCTCCAGGGGCAGGGGGATCTTCATCTTTGAGGACGTCAAGGATCTGGTTTACGACTCAACAGTGATAGTACAGCGCTACATCTCAAATCCTCTTCTGATTTCTGGGTATAAGTTTGACCTGAGGATTTACGTTTGTGTTAAGAGCTTCAACCCCCTGACCGTGTACATCCATCAAGAAGGCCTTGTACGTTTTGCCACGGAGAGATATCAACTGTCCCATTTAGGAAATCTTTACTCCCATCTCACCAATACTAGCATCAATAAGTTCAGCCCAAACTACAAAACTGAAAAGGGTAAAATTGGTCAGGGATGTAAGTGGACAATGAGCAAATTTAGACATTTCCTCCATTGCCAAGAAGTCAACGAACTTCTTCTGTGGCAAAGAATCAACAACATCGTAACATTGACGCTTCTGGCCATTGCCCCCTCTGTTCCACACTGTCCCAACTGTGTCGAGCTTCTAGGCTTTGATATTCTCGTTGATGTAAAGTTAAAACCATGGCTCCTGGAGGTCAACTACAGTCCTGCATTAACTCTAGACTGCTCAATCGACGTCACTGTGAAAAAAGGTCTCATAAGTGATCTGATTGATCTGATGAACTATCGATGGGTGGACCGCTTTCGGGACAAAGCTTATGAGAGAAAGGTTCACAAGTGTTTAAAAGTCAGTCGGTCTTCGTACGTTTCAATGCCAGCTTTAATAAATGGTAAATATTCAAAACAGAAGGCTGCACGTCAAAAACAGTCACAGATTGGCAAGCTTCCACTCCTCAAAGTAGAAAACAGGCAACATAAATCAAGCGGTTTAGTTCCTCGATACCATAGACATCTCCCGCCTGTTGGAATTAATAAATCAGGAGCTAAGAGTGGAATGGTTAGCGCTAACACAACTAGTGACAACAAGAGCTTGGACGTGATCCTAGGCACAAGGACAAAGTTGACAATGACAAAAAGACTCCCATGTCTCGCCATCGGAGCACGTCTGCCCGACCTGTATGAGGTTACAAACCACGATGGCGATGAAACTGAATCTGAGGTCAGGCCCTGCGCAGAGACAGACGCTTCCTCCTCAACATGTGATACCCCACTGCAGCAGCTGGGGTCAAAGCCGACAGGGGACTCATGGAGGCTCCCGGACATACATAGGTTAGAGGCATACTGTCCAGCCATTATGTAACGTGTGCGGGTGTGTGTGTGTGTGTGTGTGTGTGTGTGTGTGCGTGCGTGTGTGTGTGTGTGTTTGTGTGTGTGAGTAAGAGAGAGAGAGATTAAGAGATCATTTAATCGTCCCACAGTTGAGAAAGTAATTACAGAAAATAATTAAGTATAGCATCTCTAACTCTAGTTAGTAAGTAAGTAATGTTCATCTATATAGCGCATTTTACAGACCAAGGTCACCCACAGCGCTTTACAATGTTCATTCCGTGTGTGGAATGATTTAGCATAATAAAGAAGCTGTATATTCTAGTGGATGTATGTATACATCTGTACATGTTTGCAGCATAAGGGTAAGGGCTAAAGTGACGGAGTAAAGTGACATTCTGGCATTAATTCAAATTATGCACAACATGTGAGGACAGGTCGGCATCATTCATCAGTCCTTATTGCTCGGAGGAAGGGAAGACCTGCAGAACCTCTACTGTACTTCACACAGCGAGGGTGGGTCATTCTGTCACTGAAACTGCTCTCCAGAGCAGACAGTGTCCTGCAGGAGGTGACAGTCATGGTCCAGCATAGATGTTAGTTTGTAAGTAAGTAAAGTTTATTTATATCGCGCCTTTGACAGACCAGGATCCACAACTAAAAACATACAGAGAAAAATAGTACAAATAAAAGTCAGTTAAAAAAACAGAATAGTCATGAAATCACTTCTTATGGGCCCAGGACTTGTCCAAGAGCTGCACTTCTCATGATGCTCTGTCTGATCATCAAATATGCCTTAAAATGGTATGCAAACCTTCACACTAATGTGACTTTCTGATTCACACAGTGGGGGAAGGAGACACATAGCCTCAAGTCAAATCCGAGAGAGGGGACCGGCCGCCGCTCCAGTCAGAGTGGGAGACTTCATCAGAACGTTCCCATTTAATCCTGCCACTCTGAAAGCGTCCCAGGACAGTCTGGAGGTAAAAGAAGTGATTCAAGAGCTCCTCAAGCTGACCGGCAAAGTATCCAACACTAGCAGGTCCAACAGGAGGCGACAACATGACAGTGTACGGGACAACGATGGAGACGGAGGGTTCGAGTCCCTGTTCTGGGGTCTGAAAGATCCTCCACCCATCAGCCACTGTCTGAAACACTAATAGGGGGTTTTAGAGTCAAAACAACAGGGAAAATGCCTGCTAAACATACAGTATGCTATCAGAATGACTTCAGCTTGTGAAGAAAAGAAGAAGCTAATATTCACAAACTGTGAATATTAGATTGTGATATTAGTTTCATAGTTTCAATGGCTCATAGATGAGCCATTGAGCAGTTCTTTTGGAAAATACATGGGCTTGCAATAAATTGTAAATAAATAAAATTAAGTTGTATTCACTATTTGTGCTTTGGGGCTTTTCTCACATCACTATGAACAATTGCACAACAGTTAGTGCATTTCTCAGAACAATTCATACAAATATGTTTGTATGTATGTATTTCACATATTTACTGTATATGCTCTTTGCAATTCTATAGCATTGTGCACAAACACAGTCACTATATCGCGAAGCGGGCCCTGGCACACTTTAACCGGGCTTTAGGCTGCGCAGCTGGCTGGGGGTGTGTAGGGAGTACAGAGCAAAAATAGTGTGAAACCGTTGTTCTAAACTATAATGACCTGGAACAAGCAGTGACCTTGTGTCCTTGATCTCTCTCTCAGCAGAATTCTGGGGACAGATTCAGATTCATTTATTTGCCATTTGCAGTAAAACCACATCGGAATACATTAGCAAGAGTCCCCAGTGTGCACAAGACAAGTACATAAAACAACATTAAAACTACAGAAATAAAACAAATAAACAGTAAACAATTGTCACTGTGAAATGGATCGGCTAAAACAGTTTCAATACGAGTGCAAGAACATTAAAGTGCTCTGTTCAAACTGATGACAGCTTGTGGGAAGAAGCTGTTAGCATATCGAAATGTCCTGCATCTCAGCGAACGATCTCTTCTGCCAGAAGGAAGAAACTGGAACAAGGCTTTTCCAGGATGGCCAGAACAGTCATTGATTATGTGCTCGGTTTAATTTTAGAATACAACCATCAAAGTAATGCATGTTTTATTTTGTCTCCCTTTATAATTTATCACATCAGATTGAACTTTTGACACTTATATGTATTATATTCAGTCACACATGATGGGCCAATGATTTATTCACGGTGTTGTATGGGAGAGGGACTCTCTGATGTTTTTTATTTTTATTTTGATGCTCGAAAATGGGATGATAAGTAAAACATAATTATAATGAACAGAAGTTAGTTCTGGCGATAAAACTCAGAAGTGTACTGTAGAGGGTGGATATTGTTTCATAATGACTGCAATGAAATAATGCTGAAATAGTTTGCTGAAAAGGGAAAAACAGTAAAAAAGTTGTGTAATACTGGATTTATGGATGTTTTTAGTGCCAAAAACAAATGTTCTCTTTTCTCATCAAAAACCACATTTTGAGGGCTGGCAACAAATGATGACCCAAAAAAATCAAAGCGTTAATATGGACAACTTCAAAAATCAATGAAATATAAATGCATGCATTTTGAATGCATTAACAAAGCCATTTTCCCATTCTATGTTCACAGTTGCTATGGCGAACGTTTCCATGGCAACCAGAATGTGGTCTTTGTGACATCATCAGCAGAACATACAGAGATTAGGTGGCCACAGAGATCGTCTGCATCCACATAAGAAGACACAAGTCTTTGACTTCAACACACACAGAGGACACAGAGCCACAGGCAAACTCACAGCAGAGGACAGAGCAAAATAATCATTTAAAGTATCAAGATGGGCAAAAACTCTAAAAAGAGAAGAAACCAGAAATTGTCTCCTAGTATGGCAGACAGACCCTATGTGGCAAATCATGAGCTGGCTGCAAAATCCGCAAATTCTGACTTTGAATCTGCAAAACCAGCTGATTCTGAAACAAATAAGGGTAAGTATGATGCAGGAAAGGACATTTGGTATAAAAGGCCGACTCAGCAGAACAAGGAGGCTCCAGTAACACAGGCCTTATCACCAATTCCTGAGACTGAAGTTGTTGACTCTTCAAGTGAGCTTCCAACTTCTAAAGGTAAAAACAGGAGGAAAAAGGAAACTGTACGGTTACAAAGTCTTCTCATTCAAATGGAGCCAAGCAGAAGAGAGACTCTGACCAATGACGAGGCAGCTCAGAAACCTTCAACTTCTGGGCCTGAAGTAACTCAACCAAGTGGTCACTTCTATGCTGATATCCCCGATGAGTCAGAGGAGTTTAATGGTCCTTCAGTGAGACCTAAAAAGACAAGTTCGATAAAGGCATTAGATCGCTTCTTCTCCAGTATGTCAGATGAAGAGCTAGATATAGATTATTATTGTAGGCCTTTGAAAAACTATGCTAATGACAAAGCAACAAATGTTCGGACAGCTCCCACACCAAACCCTTTGTCAATGAAGACGACTGCCCTTTCCAACATTGAGCAGGTCAAGGAGGCACCAGTCCTTGACAAAAAACCTCAAGTGGTCCCAAGGATTACTGAGCAGACCCGCCCTACTTACAGAAACAACAGGGAATATGAAAATGCATCAAAGGTTTCTGAGCCAACCAGTCACCCTGCTTATTTCAAGAAAAGTTACAGTCAAGCAGTATCCACTCCCAGCCGCATGGTCACAAAAGAAAAATGTGATCCAAAGCCTCTGCGGGAGACATGTCCTTCCGCTAGGTCTCTGTCTGAATTGAGGGATGATGAGGAGGCAAGTGAGGAATTCTGGAGTAGGCCTCAAAGTAGCAAAATGGGAACAAACGCTAAAAAGAGAAGAAACCAGAAATTATCTCCCAGTGTGGTAGACAGACCATATGTGACAAATCAGGAGCTTGCTGCAAAAGCTGCAAATTATGACTCTGAATCTGCAAAACCAGCTGATTCTGAAACAAAAGAGAGTAAGTATGATGCAGGAAAGGACATTTGGTATAAAAGGCCGACTCAGCAGAACAAGGAGGTTCCAGTAACACAGGCCTTGACACCAATTCCTGAGACTGAAGTTGTTGACTCTTCAAGTGAGATTACAACTTCTAAAGGTAAAAACAGAAGAAAAAAGGAAACTGTAAGGTTACAAAGTCTTCTTATTCAAATGGAGCCAAGCAGAAGAGAGACTCTGACCAATGACGAGAAAGCTCAGAAACCTTCAACTTCTGGGCCTGAAGTAACAAAACCAAGTGTTCACTTCTATGCCGATATCCCGGATGAGTCAGAGGGGTTTAATGGACCTTCAGTGAGACCTAAAAAGACAAGTTCGATAAAGGCATTAGATCGCTTCTTCTCCAGTATGTCAGATGAAGAGCTAGATATTGATTATTATTGGAAGCCTTTGAAAAATTACCCTAATGAAAAAGCAACAAATGTTCAGACAGCTACACAATCTCAGGCTCCAACACCAAAGCCTTTGCTAATGAAGACGACTGCCCCTTCCTACACTGAGCAGGTCAAGGAGGCACCAGTTTTTGACAAAAAACCTCAAGAAGACCCAAGGAATATTGAGCAGACCCGCCCTGCTTACAGAAACAACAGGGAATATGAAAATGCTTCAAAGGTTTCTGAGCCAACCAATCACCCTGCTTATTTCAAGAAAAGTTACAGTCAAGCCGTATCCACTCCCAGCCGCCTGGTCACAAAAGAAAAATGTGATCCAAAGCCTCTGCAGGAGACAGGTCCTTCTGCAAGCTCAATGCCTGAATTGAGGTATCATGAGGAGGCAAGTAAGGAATTCTGGAAAAGGCCTCTGGATTTTTTTTCAACAAGTCTAACAAACATAGAAAATTGGAAGGCCTCGGTTGAAACACTGGAGGTACATTTTGGACTGTCAACATCCAACAACAAGGCAGTGGAAGTGACTGGTCATTCTATAATGGCTGATGATGAATTTGAGGATTTTGATGAGACTTTTATTAGACCTTTAGAGTTTTACAAAACAGGCATGTCCAGACTGGACATGAGTACCACCTACCACTCCTCCAACTGGAAATGTGCTATATAAGGACCGCTATCTCCGGTCTGATACTGTGATACCATCAGCAGAACATACACTTTACATAGATTCACAGAGAGTTACAGGCAAATTCAAACCACCCACCGAGAAAAAACTCGAAAAAGAGAAAATATCAGAAATTATCTCCCAGTCTAATCACCAATTTTGGCATAAAAGTTCAGGTAGACCGACTAAGTAGTCGGTATTACTGGCAATTTGTTGCCTTACCACCAAGTTTGGCACAAAAGGCCAGGTACACCAACTGAGTAGTCGGTGTAACTGGCCATTGGAGGAAAGCAACACATGTTCGGACAGCTACAATATCCGAGGCAACAAGCCTCTGCCCATGAAGGGAATTTCCCCATCAAACACTGAAACGGTCAAGGTGGCTCCAGTATTTGACAATAAACTTTAAGAGAACAAGGAGGGTCCATTAACACAGGCCTTATCGCCAATCCCTGACAGTGCAATCCTGTTATAAAAGAACCACTGTATCCATTCTGATCCCCAGAGGACTGTTTAAACTGCAAAAAGAAATAAAGAAAATATATTTTACCCTTTAGAGAATGGTGTACAATTTCTTCAGATCGAATTGATATATGTGATGCATGAATAAAAAAATATGAGGGGCCGATACGATGGTACTGATATTTTTAACAACTTTTTACATTTCTATTGTTGAATGTGTCCATTTATTTTATTTAGTTCTAGACATTGTTCAAAAATTCCCAAAAATAAAATAGAACATTGCTGGCAAAGTTATCAAAGCAGGTCGCAAGGGGATTCTTGAGCACAACTTACATAGACATAGTCACACGTGATGGCGGTCTCACAGGAGTTTAGAAACCAAAGCGGTCGCATTTACGCTGCTACTTTCTCCTCTTCAGAATAAAAACATTACATGTGTTTCTGTGTGTGTGTGTGCGCGCCGCGGACACACCCACACACACACACTCTTTAGCAACGACCGTAAGAGCGCTGAGAAGTGAATGAATGAGAATGAAAGAATGAAAAGTGTGGAGTTCGAGGAGAGCGACTGCAGACAGGGAGGTTACAAGTGTGTTTGGGTGTGTTCTGGTGATTGGACTGAATCTTGAATGTC